TCCCTTTCTTCTCTCTCTCTCTCTCTCTCTCCTTATCTTTACATGTGGCTCAGATCAATTAGGGAATTCAATCTGCACTCTCAGTTAATTAGTTTATTATTTAATCAACCAATTATTATTTTTCAAAAATATGCGCAAAGTGTAGGGTTCACTGAAAGTCCATGCATGATATTTGTATTTATTAAAACAAGAAAAAGACCGCACTTTGTAAGTAGGCATATAACATATTAATTATTACTATATGAGTGCAGATATCTTAAGTATCTACATTAATTTACCAGACAGTCAGCCAATTTTACTATCCAAGTTGATTTCAAATACGGTACAATCAAGTGTTCACTGGTTGGTTGTTTAACTGTCCAGGAACCACGTGATTTATATGCTCAGTATATATTTCAAAAACAGTCTACCCACAGATTTACCCGTCAACTGAGTTTATATGCGAATGACGAAACGGAAGGTCAATTAAAATAAACAAAATATTTCGAGAATGTGGAAGATTATACACTTGAATGGCTTGGAAAAACATATTAAACTCCCAAACCACAATAAGTTTCCGTTCATAGTTAACACACTGAAGATTTGACAACACTACTTAAATTAAGCAAAATTTATGTAGGTTCTCTGATTCAGAAGTATTCATTGCAATATCAGATGACACATGCAATGGTTACCTCAATGTGAAGTAAGATATCTGATATTTTTCATCAATAACATAACTGTTCGTCCTGAGGACGATCTCAACTATAAACTTCAACACCAGAAATTACATGAGTAATTTTCAAAGCGACTCAATATGAATTGACTTATGCACGCATAATGTCCTTTAGGAGGAAATGAATTACACTGACAAAATAATGACACTACAAACTGTATTTCATCTAAAGCATGTCCGGTCAGTGGAAAATACGCTTTCGTCTCCTACACACTGTTGAAGCGTCGGTGGAACAGTGGTTAGGACTCTCGCCGACCATGCACATAGTCTGGGATTCGAGCCCACGTCAGCGCACACCTGATATCTATGGTCGGCCTGCAAAATTTGGGCTACCGATATCCATGCTGAAAATTCCATACTTGTACCAAAATTACGGTGTGGAATCAAGCTGTAAATAAAAAAAAATAAATAAATAAAATAAAAAGCTCTAGTCGTTGAGATAGATAAACTGGAGGTATGCATGCAGAAGAGAATTATTCAACCACGTCTACTATCGTGGCGACAAACCTGTTGACTTCTACTAACTTGCTTTTCGTTTGCTTGTTCGTTCGTTTGTTTTTCCAACTCCTTATAAATCTTGTACCTCCTCACAACTCTTACACAGCTGCATATTCTCCTCTCGTTTCTATGTGTGTTCTGATTACAACTTATCTACTGAATCATTCATCGTATTACTCAACCCCAACACACTCTTATTCAACTGCATTTATGCATTGACTAGTATTAAGAACAATCACTATAACAACCCACCACTTTTGTTACTACCCTCTTCTATGGAAAAATTGAATATGAATGTGATAGTGCAACTGAAGAGAAGAATGAATTCGGCGTAGACAGTCTGAAGTAATTCGTTGAACTCCTTGTTTTGTTTCGGTTGGTTGATGTTTGGATGGAGATTATTCATGAGTGTGTGTGTGTGTTTTCAGTATTGTGTGATGTAGTTTTCTTCTTAGATAGGGGTTGGATGTAGTTCGTTTCTCTTTAGAAGCCTCCAGTTAGGATGTGAAATGACGGGGTGTGGAGATGTATTCACGAGTGAATGAACTGTGTTGGCGAATATTCATAAAATCGGAGTGGTCAAATTGAAAGTAATAATATTAATCATAATCATAATAATAATCATACTAGTGTTTTAGGAATGAAGTTCATTGTAAACTGTGATCAAGTAGAGAACCACCGGTAGATTAGGTTTCTGTATGAGGATTTCACCAATGAAACAATAATTTTGAATGCATTTATGTCTGGGTTGCATTTTTGTTTTCAGTGACTCAGTATTCTAAGAGTCGGATGATGCCATTCACCATTCATTCAATTAATGAATGGGTAGTGTTTGAAAGTGTGAAAGTGTTCTCCAGTGGTTCTTTTGTTTTCTAGGGTTTCCATCTCCCTGACATTGTGGCTGTGTGTGTGTGTGTGACGTCGAATGGGAATCAAGTGAGTGATGTCGTGGGTTAATTTTGTGGAATTCGATGTGATACTTGTGAGACGCTATATCAATGAAGCATCACACGTTGAGCAGACGTGATTCGTTGGTGTAATTATTTGGTTTTCAGAGAGTGTGTCTTTGATTTGAATCCTGATGCACATATTTCACTCTGGGGAGCTGGGTGTTATCAAATGACATCAGATGATATGTGTGTCTTGTGAGTTTGCTACTTGGAGGGCCTAGCTAATGATTTATCTCTAGTTGAATGGAAGCTATTTTTTCTGATTGGCTTTAATATATTCTTCATATTTATTTATTTATGAATTGAAACTTCATTTCTTTTGCATTCATTAGCGCCGAGTACGCTTAAATGACTAAAATCTTTAATTTTTTGATTTTCGTGTTAGATTAACTTTGTTAATATTAGCTAATTTTTTCACTCACACTTGCCCGAACACTGTTATATTTCTTTGGTGACAAGATATGCTTCTGCTTATTTTCGCCGAATAATGAAGTAAATTAATTGTATAGGTGGTAGTATTTACTGCGTAAAAAAGTAGGATTTTGTTAATTACCAGTACACTGTAATAATTTGTACACATTTGATTGAGTTCGGTTAAATTGAAGGGCTTTAGAGACCATGTAATTATTGTCAGTCATCCGAATGTAGCTTGTCCGAATCCTTTTGCCACTTAGATTCGCGTTTCACTTCAGTCAACAACTGTTTGTGGTCTGACGATCCTATGCTCTTCCAGTTATTTTCACCAACATAGAATACACTAACGTTGATATAGCTCCTCTAAACGATGTGCGCATACACGCTTAACACATACAGTAATCTGTTGATATCATGACTAGGCTAGGTTGTTCATATGTGTAAGGCTTAGGCTTATAATAGATGGTGGCTATAAGTCCAGGTTTGGTTTTGATTGTAAGAGCTGTGGACATGTGTGAATTTACTGAGTTTTTCAGCTACACTGAAACAATCCTATCTAAATCCTATTTCATTTATAACCTAATGTATTGCAATAGTCTAGTGGCATAATGAATACAACTAATCCTGAAGTTGTCGTCAGAGTGCAGGTGATTGATTGCGTAACATGCTAGACAATGTAAAATATTTAGAAATTAGTGCTGAACAAAAGGACGGAGAAAACATTCAGTCTATTTCTAAATGTACAGTGTTAAGATAACAAAAAGAACTAAAGGAAATTGTGAAATCCAACTTTAATTTATTCATTTTTCTGATGGCATATGGCACGTATGGTAAGCGATTTAAACGCAGGACTATTCGTCTAATCTGAGTGTGTTGAACAGTGATCCATTTATTTTGAAGAGCTTCGCCTGTACCTTAATCACTCTTTTACTCACTTGCGAAAATAATTGTTTACTTATTAGGGTGCATAATCATATTTTATGTTTCAAAATTATTCATATGTTAGCGATAATAACTGGGAAATGAGCGTATGACAGACATGTATGAAATTAGCAATCTGCTTTCAATTCACCGTTCAGTATCGCCATCTTGTTATGACGATAGTTGCGTTAGTGGACAGCATTCTGCTACGAAGCTGAATTTTGTTTATAGTATATTTACTGACAAGGTTACAGATTTCAGGTTGTAAGACGAGTGCAAATATCACATGAACACTAAAGTCAAGGTTGCTGCATCAGCCAATGACGTGATCATAAATCACGTGATCGGATCAACATGCAAGTTACGTTGCAAAATACTTTACTACATTTTTACGAATCGTAGTCGCCGTACTACCAGGACATTTTACTCTGTAAAGGACTTCACGAATTCGACAAGATGTGCGCTTCCACGTTGAGCCATGTTTTTACACTAGTTGACTATTTTCTACCCTTTAAACATACTGAATGGAAGACCTTCGTACAATTCTTGTAACGTACATTCTACTACAAGTATATGTAAGTTCATGAAACAGAACTGATGGTGACTTTAGCATTGTTTAACCAGCCTGCAGTATTGTATATTGATATAATTTTCGGTGAAAAGACTTTTATTGTTGGTTCTGTCCTAATATAGATTCCCTGAAATTTTGTCTCCCTTGATCTCAAGACGAATAAAAGTATTCTTCTTTGCAAAGTTTTTTATGAGATATATCACACAGTGAAACAGTATTAATTACTGGATAACAGTTTGAACACAATTTATTGTTCATAATCATATCAATTATGACATGATTATGGAATTACATACTATCACAGTGCCCAAGCTTTACACATATATTAACTTATCTCCTTTGTTTTCTGTCTTCTTTTGAAGTATCCATTGTCAATGAGATACATTGCAACATTGTTTCCTAAATCCCCTATTAAGCAGCCTATCTAAGTCACGCTCGTAGTTAAGCGGATAAACGTGGAGGTATTGTCTGGTTTAGGTGTCTTTCCTATGGAAGGATTATTTGGTCATACTGTAATTTCTTCTTTCCCGTAGAGACACAAGAATTTCAAGTCGTTATGCACACATGACGCAGTAAGTTTGGTGTTGACTAGAACTTCAGGTAGTCTGAGACTGGTGATAACTTGTGGAATGAAATGATTTCGTCCTATGCTTTTGTTCATTTTGGTCAGTCAGTCTCAAGCCAAAACCCAGTCATGGCTCTATCAACTGGGATATGAGACCTACTCAGTCTTTTACAAATCTCAGAATAATCCCGTGGCCCATTCAGTAAGTTAGTGTACTAGTAACTTAGATACCAGTGATTTTAGTCCGAATGAGGCCCTGGTCCACCTTCCAACTTCTATTATAACCCTTTTGCATTAAGATAAAGTTCTGAACTGATCAGTAAATTCACAACAATCTATTTATTCATACATTTTCTTTTCTTTTAGCGCCACCATCTATTAGATTTTCAAGTACTGAAGGAGAACACAATGTTGCACTTGGATCTAATTTAGCTTTATTCTGTGTTGCATCTGGTCACCCTCTGCCTAAAATTACATGGACTAGAGACGGCAAACCGATTGCCGGTTCAAAACATACTATCAGTGATGACAATATTCACTTAAGATTAACTGATGTTGAAGAAAATGATGCTGGTCGATATGCCTGTCATGTGATGAGTGAATATGGTCAAGTTTCAAAAACTTTCGACGTAAAAGTAACGTGTAAGTTGTTTGTATTTTGAGTAATAACAATTCATTATAACCATGGCATTCAATCTGTTTGACAATTTCTATGTACTTATTGTTTAACTACATAGCTTGTGGACATTATTCTTTGGTTTATGCAAACTATTTCATTGAACGTATATTGATTAATTAAATTATGTTTACATAAATCTCAGCGATTTTAGAATAAGTGGTTCTAACGTTTCTTTCCACAGACTGTTCAGAATTTCTTCATGAAAAATATCAAAATTAAAAGATGTAAGGTGTATATCAATGAGAAGTCACCTCTTGTATTCAGAGTCTTTGGCAAATCATATCCAAGTTTTGAATAGTCCTATTTGCTCTAATATTGACTAGTTCCTGAAGGGATTCAGACCAGTTTATAGAACAAGACTTTGGAATTATTTATTTGAATATCTCTGGGACTTATATCGTTTTTTTACAAATGTCTACTTTCACTTGGCGCCCAATTTTTGTAGAACTATCAAGCCAGAGTTCATATAAATAATTTTATAGAACTTCTGTATGGGAAAAGTGAATTCAGTAAACGAAATATAATCCTAAAATGCAGCACACTAAAGGTAGTCGGATAGAAAGCTTCATTACTTCCCACTTATCCCTTACTTGAAAGTAAGTGTGTTGTTCAGCGTATAAATGATGGTTAACACAATAGCACTTATTTCCATTTCACATAAAGATTGTTTTGCTTCAATCGACTTCTCATATTGTATGTGTGTCGATCTACTTGTACTTCGCGCCCTGGGATTTTCATTACCGATTTTGAAATAAACTATGAATTCATAAAATAGATTAGATATGATGATGGTTCGTTCTACCGATTATTCTTGCTTAGTATACAATGCTTGAACGTTTTTGATTGGCCGATACCTATGACAGCCTTGTCATCACCAATGCCGCATTTCCAAGAAACAACAGTCATTTCGATTTGAAGTCTACATCTAATTGCAGAAAACACCAAGGAATGTTAGAATATCTTGAAACAGATGTGGTTTTAATAACTGATACAAAAAATATCACTGTGGTGATTGTCGTTTTAGGCGTTCCAGGGTACTCACACTTCTATGCTGTAGTCACCGGAAAATATCTATGGTGTATCACATAATAATTTGTCAGTCATTTCTGTCACAGCTCAATTTGGATTTTATGGTTGGTCAGAAATCAACTGTAACCGATAGATAGATAGTCCGTCAGAGATACCGTTTCGTTGGGTTAAGTGTGCAGAGTGGTTAAATGGATGCATACAAATTTCTGTGTACGTAGTTGTCGACCTGTCACTCAATGTACTTATACAATATCAGAACAAAACCAGTAAACAATGCAGAACAAAAGTCACAAACCGATCGTCTAAAACAAAGTGTGTGTTTCAGAATTGTTGTCAGTATAGGGAGTTGTGTAACTGGTTACCGAAAATAAGGCTACCACGTACTTAATAATAGGGCATGACCTTCAGTTAAGCATCCATTTAGTCTTAGGGGACTTCAAAAACAAATAGTCTCCAGTATTCTGATAGTTGCGTAGAACAGAAATTTTCTTTCATTTATAGCAGAATATAGATTGAAAACCATTTAAAGGATTGACTTGTAAATTGTCTGTACTATTGTACCGCCAAATCATAAGCGTGGTTCCAGAGTATTGATTTTCAAAGTTTAAATTCTCCCGAGAATTTCACTTAAAACCTAAAGAATAATATAGGTAAGCTAGTTCATATGGGTTTGAACCCTGGTGGGTGCGTACTGATAAGGAGCCCAAACTAGGACGAAATGGCTGTCCAGTACTCCCAGGTTTTCCGATGATTCTCTAACCGATGTCAGCTCATGATGAAATCCTGTAACACATGAATGTTTGTTAAGCACATTGAAACAGTAACTTTTCAATCGCTGTTCAAAATTTATTTTTAGATGGACCTAGACTGGATCCAGATGGTCAGCTACAATATAGCTTAGAACGTACTGTTGGAGCTAGTGCACTTCTCGAGTGTCTTGTGTCCGGTAATCCTCGAGTGAAAATCGAATGGTTTAAGGATGGTGTATCACTTGATCAGCTATCTTACAGGTGAGTGATTTACTCGCCATCAGTAAAAAATTTTTCATTATTATTAAGAAACTGTTTGACGTCATTGGTGCTTCTTAGCTTACTGAGTACAGCTATGCATTGTGTGAGTCGCATTATTATTCATAAGGTAGATCACACAGCTTTCTCAAACAAACAAACAAACACAATATTTTAGTAATAATTTTGCTAAAAATGTAGCTACTATTAGCAAAGATTACTGGATAAAAATGTCGTTTGCAAAAAACTTGGTCTCAGCAGGATGTTATTGATAAAGTCTGTTTCCTTTGCTTTCTGAGTGTAAAATAGGGCTTCAAGCTTGAGCTTTGAAGTTTGACCAGCAGTGGTGCTTATTTCTCACGGGATGGGATAGCTAGATTCATGCCTAGCCTTCCCTCTTTAGAGGATTTATTGGTGGCTAAACGAGGTCTAGGAGTGCGTCGGCCGGGGATCGAGTCCTAGACCACGTGCATGTTTGGCAGGTATCCTACCAGTGTACCACCTACGCAAATTAATAGAAGTTACCGCTTCTACTTTGTGCAAATTTATCACTAAACGTGACATAAATAGTTGTTAACTCTCATTTTATGTTTGATATAGTTGTTGAATAAAATGGTTTTTACACGAATTGATTGGTGCACAGTGGAGAATTTAGCCTTCTAATCTTAAGCACCACTCAGCATATGTCAATCGAATGTTCAGTGTGACCACAGTGGTTTGTTAATAGACATTAGGAGTTAGTTTATGGACGTACTTCTGGAACATCTGTATCTTTGAGCTTTCCAATACGTCCGGCTGATGAGCAAGCGAAAATATGAAATATTTAGTTCAACAGGGTTTTCTTTCTTGCCTTACTGTACATAATGTACTACTGTAACCACGTTAAAAATATGAATATCAAGATTCGGTATCAATATATTAGTTAATAATTGGTGATTGATTTGTTTACTTTACTACTGAAGATCGAGACAGATAGTAGAGATCATGTAACAGATTTTCAATTCTCAGATATCCGAATGTACGAACTTGCTGTTTAATGTCTACCAATAAGAGTAAAGAAGCTATTTCCTTTTCTTCTACTTATAGATATCGTTTAATAAATCAAGACCGACAGTTAGAAATAATTTCTATGCAACCAACAGATGCTGGTCGTTATAGATGTGTTGCGAAAAACAACTATGGTCAATTAGAAATCAACACAGATGTTTCAGTTGGAGGTAGATTTCTAATATTCAGTGAAATACATTTGACATATTTTCTATTTGGATAAATATTTTTAGATTTGTTAGGATTTTGACTTATTCTGGTTGCATCCAACAACCTTACATGGTATTCAGAGAGCATCGCGATGGTGAGCCAGTCACCTTAGTTGTCCACACTGAAAAATTTCACTGACAGAATTCAATCGGTTGTAACACTAAGATCTAGACGCAAGACATTGGTTACACCCTAATGACCAACTAATGCGTCCGTTACAGTCCTGTAGGAAGTCAATAGTTAGCCCGAATAATTCAGTAGTAAAGTCTGTGACTGCAGTATTAAGTTGGAATCGCCAAGGGTAAGTCAGCTTCTTGCAGGTGTGCAAATACATCATGGTGATGAGGGCTGACAGGCGCGAAACCAGTGTCTCAGGGGTCCTACCGATTGATGTCAACCATCTGACGTGTAAGAATTTGTTATTCAAGACAACAGGATGAAGCATCGCCTTCAATAATGTGTAAATAATACATACCGTTTTATAAAGATGACTAGTGTACATCCCTCAGTCACTGCGCATCATGGTTAACTATTTGATATGCAATAGTTTCAGATAGTTGATATGATCCTTCAGATCTGTAAGTTTTATAGTTTTTGGATCACTATAAAGTCGGATAAAAAACTGGGCGGCTATATTTTTTAAATTCCTTATCATCTAATAAAGCCTACCACAGCAAACATATATTCTAAAATACAATAGAAAGTTTCGGGTGTATATGGGCTATTGCTGAGCAGTTCAAATACTTCACTTTATGTATAAATTATAATCACGACACATCCGAGTTTATTTGTTATCGCAGTAATATGACGTCTGATGTCTGCATAAGTTAACCTTACTTCGCGGATTAGAAGAAGAGATTGATAACTTTGCTCTTGCCGGAAGAATATCTCTATTCGGAAGTTGATATACCTATGTATCATCAACTTTGTGATGAAAAAGGTACCATATGTCGTAATAGTTGCAGTTTCCTCTCACTGAAGTTGGCTGAAGTGAAACACTATAATGTAGGCTTGTTAAAGCGGGTTTACTTTCCTTTGGTTTTTTTCTTCATCAAACTGGAGAGAAAAATATTCCACTCCTTTTTAGTCGGTGTTATATAAATTGAAATACAAATGCAATAACATTAATCCTACTTGTATTGTTAAACACTTTTAGCTCCTGCTCGTATTGATCGTGGACGTGTACGTACAGAATATACAGTTCGTGAAGGCGATGAACTTGTACTACCTTGCCCAGCAAATGGATCACCCACACCAAAAGTACATTTTTCGCGTACCAGTGAACCTCGCCTAGGAGGCAGATATGATGAAAGTTCTGGAGTAATTAAACTATCTAGACAAACAGATAATTTACCTAAACATTCAGTAGTATCTCAGGTAATTTTAATTTAATGAAATAATGATTGTTTATGTTTGTCTATGTTTTTTTTAACAGTGTGATTCGATTGAGGAGAATTTCAACGAGAATAGAAAAAAAATGAGCATCTTGAAATAATTCGAAGTGAGGGATGCATCATCCTACTCACGACTAAAGTTCATTTATGGAATTCTATTCTTATTCCAGTCCAATTTAATAGTTAGTTTACCATTAGTTTGCTTAAATTGGTAGCTTCGTCGATCACATGAATAACTGCTTTGGTTGTGAATTGTGTAAATAATGGGTATCAAGACTGACTGACATAGGTTTATTTTACCTTCGGTTCAATTTGCAAATATGCGAGTATGATGTTGAATACATAAGCCATATGGTCAGTAATATGTACGGAAAATGCTGAAGGCCTCTCGGATGTTATTTAATTATTAGGATACTGTGGATTGATCGCTTTCGAATTCTAGTCAAAGTGCGATGTTGGACAGTGCGATCGACTATTAATAGGCCGGAAATCTTCAATCTGCTCTAGATATTATATTCCAGTAATTTTAGCATTTCAATTTACATTGGATTATGTCATAATGACTTCATGTTCTTTGTCTTTACGAACACATTAGTTTATATAACTCATATTCAAACTACTTAGCCTCCTTTCTTTTTTATAATTTTAGGATCGTCAATCACTTACAATTTTCCGTACATCAAAAAGTGACAGTGGTTCATATCAGTGTAATGCTAGCAATGCTGTTGGATGGGATATTATGGAGTATAGCGTACGAGTCCGTGGTGAGTTTGAAGTTTGAACATAATTCCTATTTATATCATAAATACTTGGATAGATAAGTACACTGTTATGATCAGTTTCAAATTCTGTCACTCAGAGATTAATACTCACTCGACAGAATTATTACCTACTTCTATAAAAATTGGGAAACAGTTAATGAACGATTCTATTTTAGCACATGATTTAATATAATGAGTTTTTGAGGTGTAAATATATATATTCTGTCTTTTTTGATTAGATACTAGTAACTAGTGTGACGTGTCTAGTCCTTTCTTTGGTGCAGATTGAATTCTATCAGTCTACCGTCAAATCAATGTGCACTGTGATGGCAAGCTACCTAGAATGGTGGCCACAAGGCAAACCTGACTGATAGAATTCAGTCTGCACCAAAGAAAGGACTAGACACGTCACACTAGTTACTAGTGTTCAATCAAAATATCCACTACAGTCCTACTGGAGGTCAATCACGAACCCGAATAGCTCAGTGGTAACGTCTCTGACTGCAGTACCCAGTGGGTGACGCAGGTTCGAATCTCAGAAGGGACATGAGTTCCCTCAAGGCTGCATATACACATAGCTGATGAGTCCCAACTGGCATGAAACCTAGGTCCAAGGCTTCCTGCTGACTGCCTCCAAGTATCTGATATGTATTCTGTCACTAACGGAAGTCAAAAGAGCACTTTAAGCCAGAGAGCGCAGGAAAAAATCTCTTTTTTCATTCTGCGAATTTTTATCAGCATTCATCGGTCATTCATGTAGAGTTAGGTTTTAAGACTATTAATTTTTGAAACCAAAATTCACAACCTATTTATTGTTTCAGAATCGACTGGCTCATGATTTTTTACTAATAACACTTAGTGACTTGTCTACCAAACATTCCATATAAATAAGTAGCTGCATCGGCAGTAAAAGAAATGCGTGCTGAGATACAATCGATGTGATATTGTAGATTTCCTATTGGATTCTTAAATGATATTAGTAAAAATACATATGTTGTCACCAATATCCAAGCATAAACTTTAAATATGATAGAGATTTGTAGCTCATGTGGATGATTTTGATGTGGTTGTGTTCTCTGAGCTGGATGATTAATTTACGAAGCTTTCATCGCCCTACTAGGTGACGTCTTCAAATTGATGTTGTCTAGTAGGGCAATGAAAGCTTCGCAAATTAACCATCCAGCTCAGAGAACACAACCACATCAGAAACTTTAAGCTATGTAGTCAAATTTATTTGCTTTTATTGATAATCCTATAAACCAACTGATGTCTATTGATTAATATTTTCATTTCTTTCGTTTCCTCTTCTCCAAAACACGTATACATGTATATGATTCATGTCTCACAGTTCCTCCAGCATTTGATACATCGAATGTTCAACCTGAAGTACATTGGTTTGTTAATCAAACTCGATCACTTGATTGTACACTAATGGAAGGTGTTGATCCACCACCACAAATTAAATGGGAAAGAAATAATTTACCCATAGTGAATGGACCAGATATTCAAGTATCCGCTGATGGTAGTAAAATTACAGTACCACTTGTACAAACACGAGATGCTGGAGAATATATCTGTCATGCTCAAAATGAGGTTGGAAAATCTACACAAATATTTAATGTACTTATCTATGGTGAGTTTCAACTTCAAGTTTGAAAATGTTAAGCTCAAATTTTAAAAGAAAATCTGAAAAATATTTAACCAGAAAGTCTTTTCATGTATCTTATTTTATATGTGATAAGTGTTTTCCGAATCCCCTTTAAGTATTATTTTAGGTGCATCTGTTTTTAAAGCTGTCTCATTAGTGATTAACATATTTTATATTGCGATAATTAAATAGGCAAAACATGTTTTAGTAATTTCATGCAATTCATGGTGAGCTCTATCTGAGTTAGCCTTTGGTTGTCAACTTGTTATTGATGCAGCGGATGGTGACGGAAGACAAAACGAAGAAATATGGATCACCGAAGGATTCAAAACAGCGACCTTCAGAAATTACTAGCCCAGCACCTGAGCTACGATACCGGATTACTGTGTAGATTATCACTTTCCTGAAATCATCACGGTTAAAGCTTAGGTTTTATTTAAATGAAAGACACGTCTCTATCCGTTTTTCATCAAGCTAACTAGTCAACTGTCTTATTTCACTGCAGATAATACTGCATTAAGAGAGGAGCTGGTTGAATTTTGAATATTAATCACAATACAATGTGATAAAATGTGACTACTTTTTAACAACAGTAAGTAACATGAAAATATTATTAGAATTAAGAGAGAATGCACAATACTAACATAAAAACTGCATCCAGTAAAATGTTATGAAATATGAATAAGGTAACTAATGAAGTGACCAATATGTGTGTAAGAAGCACCAATCAATCAAAAACTATTTGAAGATGGTATAGTTTCGTTAGCTGTATTGTTGAAAGCTATGAAACTGAAACGTGCTGAAGGTGAATAACCGATGAAGCAGAAAATTAACATAAACTTACGAAATCAATACGCGGTCTAGCTCGAAAAACAAATCAAATCCATACAAATCAACTTTGGAAAATTAATTTGATGCTCGCTAGTGACTTGATACAAGACGGAGTTTCAGCAGTTATAGTGAGAAGTTGTCATCAGTGGGATGCATCTAGTCGGGAGTGAAGATGGCTTTCCTGCCAGTGACATTCGTTGGTGGTCGCGCTAAATGTCACGAATTGGCAGGAGTTAGAATTGATAGGCTGAATGGTATACGAGCATGTCTTGTAACGGGAAGGCCCGGGTTCGAAACCGAGTGGGTGTGTGCTACTGATGAGTCCCAAACTAGGATGAAACAGTTAGCCATTAACCCCTGGTATTTAATGGGAACGAACCAATCAGGAACCGATTGTGAAACAAATAGGCAGAAAGAAATGGAGATGGATTGGCCATACGCTGAGGAAACCATCAAGTGACATCACTAGACAAGCCCTCGAATGGAACCCGAAAGGGAAGCGGCGAGTTGGTCGTCCAAGGGTGACTTGGAGGAGATCATGCGAGGAGGAGATGAAAGCATGTGGACAGACCTGGAGCAGGGTGAAAAAGTTGTCAGAAAACCGAAGGCAATGGAGGTGCGCAGCTGAAGCCCTATGTTCCTCTAGGAACTAAAGGATACAATAATAATAATAACTGATATCAATCTGTGGTCTAACTCGGATGTCCTTACGATGTTTAGTTTATAGGGAGCTCACTTCCAAAAGGCCAGTTAGTCAAAGCCTAGGAGAGACAATAGAATCAAAATTGTTTTATACACTCGAGAGTTTGATTGTGGACGTCTCATCAATGGGCTTAATGATGAAGGTATCGGAAACCTTAGTCATCAGACACAAAGCCCTGAAGTACATCTAACAAATTTCATCTTTCTTCTGAGTTACATATCTTCTCCATTGACCAAAATTATTCATAATTACTTGAGAATTATGCTCATTGATATCATACTTGTTTATAACATCAACTTACAGTGGTGGCAATGGCTGTCCTAACACTACCAATGTTAATTCATTTCTTGACTAAACTCTGCCGATCTATTACTTCTATTAACTTTGTTTTCATCTTTGTGCTACTAACAAACCAACACTTAAATATATGGTAGTATAAATTATATTTTATAAATATATAAACCATTAGTGTTACGAATTCCCTGGAATAATTTGAGAGCCGAGTCAGTTCGAATCATTATAAATTACTTAAAATAGTCCTAGAGTGCTTAACAATAAGAGCGAAACAAGATTTTTCTGAGTGTTCCACTGAGTAATCCACAACTGCTTCAGCAAAATATCCATCGAAATATAGTCAAAAAATTACATAAATTGAAGTGAACTCCTGTGAAGGTCACCACTAGAAAGGCAATAGCAGTCGTCACAAATTTATAATGACTAATGTCACATTTTCATATTAGCATACTGGTCTGTATGGGTGTGTGTGTGTGTGTGACACAGTAAGTTGTTCACCTATGAAAAATGTGATAATATTTTCTAAGGTCACAACATAGCATTGAATAATTTTCGTTTTCTCATATGTTTTGTATCATTAGAGTCTACCATAAGTTTATCCCTTCTCTCGTTGTTTTCCACTCGATGTGGTTAAAATATGGAAGGCTTCAGAAGTCAGCCGTATTTTATGTGAATGAAAGCCTTTTCCTGGAATTTCAGCATTGTAGAGATCGATCTAATGTCCGCTTTCTATATCATACATTGCTATAGCTGATCTCTTTTGAAGACTTTAATTCTACTTTATTTCTAGGCGGACATTTCGTGCACAGCCTGTTTTCATTCACTCTGACCTTCACCTGCTATATAACGAGCCTCAGATGCTGAACACTTCGTCCTATAGACACAGTTGTTTCGTGTAATTTTGAGCAACATATCTTTGACACTCACCAAAGATTTCTATAAAGAATTGGGGGTCTTGAAATAGACTTTAACATTATATGGAAGAAGTACTCCTTGAAGTTGTTCAGTCGTTTCCTTTTGATATGGAATAGCCATCGTCGATACCCGAGGTTTTTTTAAGTTTTCTCCTTCCTCTCTCCCTTTCTACTGATAATATTAATTAGACGCTTTTCCGGGTAACAATTTCCAACCAAAATTTGTTTTGTATTGGAGGTTTTTTCTCCTGTTGTAGTGTTTCTAGCTCTGTTTACAAGAATCAAAGCAACTGGAACTTTCATTCGTATTGAGTGATCCGATTGAAAATTCAAATATTTGTTTGAATGTGTCGGTTCCGTGTATATCATGAACTTTAGTTTTCCGTCGATTTGTCTTTTTACAAGACAATCCAGAATGTGTATAGTTCCCTTATTTTTGATTCCTTAAACTTCAATAGTAAATTTTATATATTTTGAAAAGGAATTGATCGGTTGTAGACAGTCATCTTTTTCAGCTTTCTTAGTAATCATAAATGTGTCATCGACATATCTGTACCATACTCTAAGATGACAAATAAAACTTGTCAGTGCTTTTCTGTCTAGGCCTCTCATATGAGGATTTACTACAATTGGACATGCTGGTGATCCCATTGTATCTCCATCTGTCTGACAGTTTAGTTCGTCTTTAAAGATTTAAATAAGTGGATTGCAAACAAAATTTTAAGCACTTTATTATAATGTCTTTTGGATAAAGCAATAAGAAGTCTTAATTTGTCTGAATCGTGTAATGTATTTGCGAAACACATTTCGAACATTCTGATCACACACGACTTGTTATAGAAATATATGTATAAAATCAATAAAGAGGTAAGAGGTGAGAAAAATAGACTTAGGTCAATTGGTGGATGGTGGCTAGCAGTGGAATCCAGGATGCGCATTTCGTTCTATTTGGGACTCGTCAGCTGGATGTACCTGCATTTCTCAGTGAGTGATGATGTTCCCACCGAGGCTCGAACCCAGTACCCATAGTTTCAAACGCCAAAGCGTTATCCACTAGACCACTTGGGCCACGAGAGCCACCTCTTGTGCAACGGGTCATATATTAATTATTGAATTGAATTTTTGATTTTCCCGTCGATTGATTGGACCGAAGTGCTCGGTCTCAGGTTGACATGTCGGCTTCTTGTGCAGATGCTTCGACGATGTCTGGGTATTTAATTAGTATACAATTGGTGGATGGTGGCCAGCAGTGGAATCCAGGATGCGCATGTCGTCCTATTTGGGACTCATCAGCTGGATGTACCTGCATTTCTCAGTGAGTGATGATGTTCCCACCGAGGCTCGAACCCAGTACTGGGAACATCATTACTCACTGAGAAATGCAGGTACATCCAGCTGATGAGTCCCAAATAGGACGAAATGCGCATCCTGGATTCCACTGCTGGCCACCATCCACCAGTTGTATACTAATTAAATACCCAGACATCGTCGAAGCATCTGCACAAGAAGCCGACATGTCACCCTGAGACCGAGCACTTCTGTCCAATCAAAAATTCAATTCAGACTTAGGTCAAGTTAAAAAGACATATATAGAAGGTCAAAATAACAATGAAGACCACTAAACCAAATAGCAGAGGTAATAGTACATCTGCTATGGTATCAAAACAAAATTTACCAAGGAAGGTTTAATGTGATGACAAATTGTTTTTGAACGCACAAAGGTGGCTTGAACTTTCTAACTGCTAGGGCTTCTACAAACTTTAGGATACGCCCCAAACACGTTTTATAGATAGGTTTAAAAGATGTGTTAACGTCAGTTTTATGTCCTGTGTCTATAATATGTTTCGCAATAGAAGAGCTAGGTCTCCTGTTCTCACCGTTAATAGGTTCTGATGATTCCATTTGTTTCTGGAGCCATTTTGGAATATGCTCTGAAGTCCTTACTTGCAGAGATCGATGAGTCCTCCCTATGTATGTGAGTTCACACGTACATTCAAATTGGTAAATACAGTGGGATGTGACGTCATTTTTCACATGTTCGAAAGGCTTAAATGGATGAACATATTGGCTTCATATTCTCTATTATTATGGTATTAGCTGAATAAAAAGTCTTTTTAACAGCGGTGTTCAGCTTTTGTCTAGTTATCAAGCTGCTTTGATGCCCCATATAGGGTGGCTTGATGTACACATCTTTCTTAGGGGCGAATTGGGGAGTAGGTCTTGGTGTTCTGATTACTTTATATCTCCTGATGAACTTGTTAGGATAATTGTTATCAACCAGAGTTTGTGTCAATATTCTTTCTTCTTCATCAAATGTGTCTTCAGTACATATTCGTTGGATTCTACTAAGGATCTTTTGTACCGAACAGGGCAAAAACTGTGGTAATTAAGATACCGTCCTGTCCAGTTAGGTTTTCTATAAATAGATCTTTTTATTGACCCATCCAGCCGTCTGCTAAGTAATATGTCTAGGAAAGATAAACAATTATCTTCCTTTTCTACAGATCTAAGTGATATGCTATTCTGAACTTCGTTTATTTTATTTAATATTGAGGTGGCAGAACAAGACTTGTCACTGATGATAATGAACATTTAGCTAATATTTCTTCATTGTTTTCAAGTTCATACTCCATGATATCAAGTGAATCACGTATAGACATAATAGTAAATAGAGAAAATACATCAAAACTTACCGTAATTTCCTCTTCTTCAATAGTAATATTGGTTACTTTTCTGTTAAACTCCTCAATATTGCATTAAAGCCGTTTTAGTATTCTTGATGTGTGTTCTGACAAATTATATATCACTGAATTAGTGAAGTCAATGTGATTGGTCTTAAAGGAACATTTAATTTATAAAGACTTCTATTCTGTTTATTATGTTGAAATTCATTTTTAGTTTAAACTAATCGAACAATACTATTTTACTTATTTTTTACACAACTCACCAGTTCGTCCAAAGTTTGTTGATCCAACTAGAAAGATTCATATTCAAGCTGTTCAGAATGAAACAATCCAGTTGGCTTGTGAAGCAACAGGTGAACCACGTCCACGATTCGCTTGGTTTAAAAAAGATATTGAAATAGTTCAACCACAATTTATGGATCCACGATATATTCATCCACAGTTGTCTAGTTTAGCTATCCTGAGTGGAGATCAAATGTTGCAGATATCAAATATACAACCTAGAGATCAAGCAGAATACACTTGTACTGTTAGTAATGGAGGTGGTACAATAGAAAAGAAATTCAATGTAACTGTAATCGGTTAGTTGTTAAATTAACAGAAATTCTATTATGTGTAGTTGAAATGTGTCTGTTCTATTGGAAACCATCATAAACGCTGTCTCTATATTTAATTGGTACAACGTTTGTCATGAGTAGATGAGTTTAATAAGAATTAAGTGACTTACATTTCATTACTCTGATTTGTTCTTCAACCGAGACAACATTTAACTGTATTGGGTCAAGATCTTCTTGATCAGTTTTAAATCCATGTGCACTAATGAACTGTATTGATTCTATAAGTTCATCTATCGAAGCTATGGTCTGTATGATATAACAGAGAGATGAAGTGTATTAATTTTATGCGTTTATATGGGTGACTAGTAACTGTCTTGTTTTTGTGTGTGTGTGTGTGTTACAAAAAATACAAGAGATAACAATAATAATAGTAATGCTATTTACGAAAATACTACTTATAAAGTGAGAAATAGGATATGAATAGTAGAATATGACACTAAATGTTCTGTATAAGTGTTATGTATTACTGCTTACCGGAGCAAGACAAGGCTGCCTATTATCACCGATGATATTCTCAATTGTGTTGGACTAGATTATGCGTCAGACTTTGTGTGTGTGGGGGGGGGGGAGAAGACAGGAGTACGCTGGACCACCGATAATATGACTCTAGAAGAACTGTATTTCGCATGTGATTTATGTCTAATATCACACGAATTCAAAGAATTACAGCGAAGACAGAACTTCAAGTTGACATAGGGAAGATTGAGGTGGTGAAAGTAACCATGCACCAATAGCAACAACGACGACACCCAGTACTAATCACAATCAACGGGAGAGATTTAATAGAGGTTACTTCCTGCCTTCACTCATCTGGGAATCACGGTTTCAACTACAGACAGCCACTCAGAATCGGAAAGGCAAGATATGCACGCCTTCATCAACCTGGAATCGATTTGGAAATCTTCTGCACTGCACTCCGCTTCAGCATAAACAACAAGATTCGGATTTTCAACACCAATGTCAAGTCAGTCAGTCCTTCCATACGGGTCAGAAACTTGCACTGTGTGACAGGGGAAGGATTTCCAACAGGTCACTTCAGACTTTTATCAATAGCTGCCCCATTCTGTGGCTTCAAAATGAAGGTCAAATGACCAGCCGGTGAGAAAAAATTAGCAACAAGAGACTCTGGCTGAGAACCGACCAACCAAGAGCCGATTGCTCAATAGATATGTAGGGGAAAATGGAGATGGATCTGGCAAACGTTGGGGGGGGTGTCGAATGACATCACACGCAATGTAGATCATCACTCGAGTGAAATACAAATGGGAGCTGGCGAAGAGTGGGGTAGTCGGTGCGAGGGTGACATAGAGGAGATCTTGTGAGGCGGAGATGGGAGATTGTAGGCAATCGTGCTCCAAGCTGAAGAGGACAGCAGAGAACAGATGAAGCCCTATGTTTTACTCGGAACTCAAGCGAGTAATAATAAATTATACTAATTACGACTGGGTCGTTGTTTTTTAATATGCGTTAAATAAGTAGTGGAATCTCTCACTGGATTTGTGCAATTAAACTAGTAATAATAGGTAAACAAAACAAGTGGCTATCTAATAAAAGGAATTATTTAAGTGACAACAATATAAGAGGAACGAGTAAGTTTTTTTAACATAGGCTTGTGGGAGAAGTTCAAATTCATCGGCCATTAATGGAGTCCCACTGGCTGAATGGTCTACCAGCCTGCATTATTGTCGGAAGGTCCTGGTTTCTAACCCCAGTGGGTGCATCTTGCGATGGGATTTTAATGAGAAATGTCTTGTTTTCACTCTTAGGGTAAAAAGTGTAGTAGTGAGAATTAAGTGGTGGAGTTAGTATTTAGTTGGTGGATGGTGATTAACAGTGGAATCCAGGACGCTCATTTAGTCCTATTTGGGACTCGTCAGCTGGATGTACCTGCATTTCTCAGTGAGTGATGATGTTCCCACCGAGGCTCGAACCCAGTGCGCATAGTTTAAGTGGTGGAATGTTCAGATACTTTTAATAGTTACTTGTTTAATTAACCGCCTTATTCTTCTCTCCTATTTTTTGTGTATGCTTATGTTTGCGTTAACAGTTCCACCAGTAATAATAAAACGTTCTGGATCACTAGAAGAACATCGTACATCTGAATTCATTCCAATCACATTTTATTGTCTATTGCGTGATATCAATCAAACAAAAGCGGAAATTACGTGGACTAAGGATGGTGCACCAATATTGATGTCACCAGATGGAGATTATTATGTGATACAAGATCAAGGACAGAGTTTAACTGTTGTCCGTCCAACTGCTGATGAAGTTGGAACTTATCGGTGTTTAGCACGTAATAGAGCTGGTGAAGATAGTCACACTTTCCAGCTATCTGTTATTGGTAGGTCTAAAATGAAAAGTATAATTGATAAATCCCTTCTTATTTTTTAATCATTTTGTATAAATTATTCATAATTAATCTTTAGAGATAAATCATTGTCAGAATTCGAGAACATATTTCATGTTGTCGAAACTTCAATTCTGAATGTTGACTGATAAGACGGGGAAACCAGCTTTGTGAAAACAGTGTCATTCGCTAGCCTCTGTCTGAATAACTTGATGGTAGTCTCGTAGTTTTTTATGGCTGTAGAGCCCTAATATCGCTAGTTCTGAAACTTACCTCGTAAGAAAGGTACTATTTTTAGTTTGAAATTATACAGATTTATAGCTCACTTGGGAGTTTTTCATGTTGTGTGTTCTCTTAGTTCGAGGGTTTAATTACTAAGACTTCGTTGTGTGTCTAGACAATATCTTCAGTGCTAACTTCAGGATGAAAGGAGCACTTAGAGTTCTTGTTGATCAATATAACTATGTAGAAAAAAACCAGTTTAAAATTATCCAGATATCAAAAAATGTCTGTTTTCATACACAGGGCTGATATAATCTAAGATGCAGCTGGAAGTAATCTTGAAGATTAGCTAATAAGGGGGTGGAAATAATTGTTTCACAGAAATCAAGCCAAGAAATTTTCGCATTGAAATAGATTTTATAAAGTTCTACATGGGCAACTCCTTTCAACGAATATTTAAGTGATTTGAACAGGTAAATATTTTGCATATTTGATAGAATACACATACAGTGTTGCAGTACTATTGTTTGGATGACGTTTCGAGTACAATTTGCTGCTCATGTCTAGTTATCAATATGGTATGGCTGTGTGTTATATTAAATAAAAGCTTACCTACTATGGCATTGTTTTCTGCCACAGAGGCTGAATTCTACTTCTACTCCACTCTAATAAGAAAACAATTTCGATAGAGAAGAAAGGCCAGATTTGCAGAATAAAATGATATCATTCTATTTCACAGGTTCTCATCAGCTGCAAACTACCTGAAATTACAATGATTATAAATAATAACATTTCATACTTCATTGTTTGAAAACATTTTCGTATATTTTCTTCAGCCTCACCTAGATTTCCACAAGATTTTGTTCGTTATCGTCAAAAACAGATTGTACGCCTGGGTGCTGAAATTGAATTCGATTGTCCAGCACAAGGATCACCTCCGCCTACAATTACATGGTATTATAAAGGTGCACCATTGTCACAGTTCAATGCACCAGCTAAATACACCTTTGATGATAATGGCAGTAAATTGAAGATTATCTCGGCTACTGGTAAAGACTTAGGAGAATATCAGTGTTTGGCACGGAATGAAGCTGGGAATGTATCAAAAATTTATGAATTAGAAGTTATTAGTAAGTGAAATCTGTGGTGGAGACATCCAAAAAATTTTATATATACTATTTATAGACCTATTTTTCACTTGTAAAAATTTCATAATACTTCTGAAATTAATTAGTAATACTTTCAGGATACATAGTACGTTTCTTCTTAGTTTAGACAATTGGTTGTGGCGTTTTCAAAGATTCACGCTGACACGTCTTACGCATAATAGTCTTGCTAACACAAATTGTAAAAAATGACAAAAAAAGTCATTCTGTTAAGCAAGATGAAGTTATTAACCAGAAATAATTTCCAGTGTACTTAAGCATCACATGAAAACAGATTTAGTATTTCTGTGTGGAATTCAAGTTCATCAATAATTAGACTGATTGTCTGTGCGAGACATACATATTTACTGTCATCACAAAGTGACTGAAAATATTTTGCAAGAAAGACGAACCTTCTGATAATAAAAATTCGTTCTTATATTTTCTGTCTGCTCTGCATGTGATATGAGTGGTGAATCAAAGTAAACAGAAAAAAACCTACACAAAATAACAACAGTTCAAGTTGACACCAAGTCAGCTAAGAGAATAGTTGCGCTCTGTATGTCGTGAATTGGCAGAAGTTGAAATTCACTGCCCACTGAATTGAGTTCCAGTGGCTGAATGGGATCGCGTTCGAGATCGCCTTGTGACCTGAAGGTCCTGGGTTCGGATCCCAGTGAGTGAGTATTGATGAGGGGTCTCAAAACTGGACGAAACTGGTGTACTCAGTACTCTCAGGTTTTCCAATGGTTCTTTAACTGATATCAACTCGTGACCAGACGAATAAACAATTTAGAGAAGCACAAACATAAGAAAACGGAAACTAAGTTAGAATAAAAGCTAAGGGTAGATTAGTGAAGACTCTTAAAATCTGGAAGATAACTTCCAATAACTGATTCACATTAAAACAAGTAATAAAGATTAATAAAACAGGATAATTTAATGAATTCATCAAATTTCGATAGAACTCGTCAGCTGAATACTTTACATACACGGATATATATATATATATATATATATATATATATATATATATATATATATATACTTGTCAAATTACATTGGGAGATATTAGACTGATAAGTAAACAAACTACATTGAATTAGTCATGCAGAAGGACACATGCGAATGTTTTCCAGGTCATGTTCAAATAGACAAGGGGAGAGAGAGTATGAGAGATCAAAATTAAGACAAATTACGGTACGCTTCAATTATGTCACTTAGATAAACAATTAGACATTAGAGAATATACCAAGAGTTGCAAACAGAGTAATACCAATAGTAAAAGTTATAATAATAATAATAGTGCTGAAGTGAGTTAAGATAATGCTATTGATAATGGATAGTTTTATATGAATCAATAATAATAAAGGTAGAATAATAAATAAAACGTATTACCATGGTAGATTCAGAGTGACGACCATCTCCTTTTGTACACAGACACCTGGTTTATAAACTCGAATTGCACAAGCCTCTGCAATTCCAATCATCTTGTTTCTTTGTCTGCTGACAATAGTGAATGCATCGACAGCATCGATACATATCCGTAGTCCACAAGATGTTTTGTTATTGGCACTTTGCGTTCAGCTGTTTTCAACCATTTCGGCAAATGCTCCATCCTGTCAGTAGACAATCGCCTTTTCGTACGACCTATGTATTTGCTTCCACAAACACACTCAAATCGATATACGCAATTTGAAGTGTCCAGGAATGTTTTCAATTGATTCACGTTATCTTGAGGACTCGATCCAGCCAATATGCAACTACCTATAGACATATGTGCGTAAATAACCCTTTGGTAATATTTCTCTTTTTTGATTTTATTATAATTTTAGTGCCACCTTTGGTTAGACTAGACAAAACTGAAATACGTGAAAGGGAAGGTGCTACCTTTACTGTGCACTGTTCAGCTGAAGGACATCCTATGCCAACTTTGGAATGGTTTAGAGAGACTGGAGGGCTATTCCGACTTGGAACAAGTGTAGATATCAGGTGAGAATATGAAATTTGGATCTATGTAGATAATGATGTTTGTATATTTTCATAATTAAACTGTAAGATTTAACATGTGGATGAAATTACATGATTGGTGTTTAAGGAACTCGGTTTGATACTATCGATAGGAATCAAGAAGACAACAGGGATATCAAGATAGTATACTATAACATAATCTGAGCACGTAGTGGATGTGGATTTGGTATACGAGAACAATCGGAGTAATTATAGTTCAAAACATGACATTTAAGAGACTGTGTTAAGGGATACGTTTAAGATTTTTGATACAATCATCTTGGAAACAACCCACGAAATCATCGTTACGACCAAAACTGACTCATAGCGGTCTGGATTCAGGAAGCTGATTTCTGCGTCCTACTGTATAGCTGACAAAAATTCATTCAGACATGCATCGTCATAAAGCGCTCAATAAACACCAAAAAGACAAATATTTGTTGCCGAAACCTGCAGTTCTATTTAACAATAACATCAAAAATCGAAAATTGCCTCAGAAGTGCTGCTATGCAGTCCAGTTAATTTTCTAAGTACGGCACATGTACTGTAGAACAGAAATTTTTATTCATTCACGTTCCCAGTAGAACGTAGAGCTTCAAGCTACAGCTTTGAAGTTTCGGTAGCTGTGTCAGCAAGAATCAGGCACCAACGTTTCTCTGTAGACAGTTCAAGGTCAGCATGTATTTGACTCACTCAAACAAAATCACATTATCAATGTATTGTACAACCGCAATGAGAAGCGTTACAGTTAGAGAATAAACAGTAACAAAGACAAATAATAAGGATTAAGGCAACAGAGGATATGAAAATGTCAGAAGAATGATATACAGTTTAAAAGAAAAACGGATAACGATTACATAGTTCACACATTCAAATAAGTATTAATATTGTAATTAGATAGTTCAGGATAGATTTTCCAAACAATCTTCCAGATACAATCAAGTCATACACTTGCTAGTAATAAATAGTAAATTCTTATCCAATGTTCTTCGTAACTCTAAATTTTAAAAGTTGATATAGGTTTGACCAATATATTTGATCAGAAAATGTCAATTCAGTTTAATGTCTGATTACTTCCAGACTAAGTACTACTCTAGGAGTTGCATTCAACCTTATATCTGCAAAACATTACTGTTAGAACTCACTAGTGGCTATTTTATTATGCGAATCGTACAGCAAAGGAACGAACTCAATTCACACGAAAACTGGTGAGTCGAGATATCCGAAATAGTGACATCTCATGGCTTAGACGAGATTGTTCGTCATCATCTACAAATGTAGAAATTATATGAGTTAGTCTAATTTTCTACAAAAAGTTAAGTAATCCTTACAGGTGTGTGTTATTTTTATTGTTTATAAAAATCTCTTGTAGTACTGGACTGTTAACAATCACAGATGCTAAAAAGGAAGACAGTGGCCGTTATGTTTGTAAAGCTACAAATAAAATAAGCGAGGATTCGAAATCAGTTATGATCGAAATAATTGGTAAGCTTATTTTCCCGCTAAAATTATCCTTTCATACTTATTTCTATACTGTAAACATAGAGAAGATATCTCAATCTAGTATATTGTAACAGTGAAAAACCCTGTTATGACGGAGTGATGCTGGATTGTCTAATCTGACGAGAATGCACCTCCAGAATACAATATTATGACAAACTAATCACTTGAAAATATCTTTCACTTTGAGACAGACACAAAGTCAGACTGGGAGAAACGAACTGGAAGGATAACAATCACAACAACAACATTTATTGAACAAAATACTTAGTGTTTCATGTTTACAGAACGAATCAGAACGGTCCAATAAGGTTATAGTTGTCAGTACTTGCATAAATTATCACCTCACGGCTAAAAAAAAAACTTGTCCGCGCTAGCAAGACAGTAGTCTGCTTGCATACTCATTTAGGAGAGCTAAAATGCAAATCATCAATCAGATTTGAAATATACCCTTGTAACAACGACAAATGAATCAGTTCTGCCTAGCTCAAAATAGCGTCAGAATGTGCTCGTATGATTTGACGTTAATTCAGTTCCTACTAAACACTGATAAGAGTGTCTAACATATCATTAAAATATCTGATTATCAAAATCTCAGCTCAAAGAATTATTCAATCTGAAGACATATACAGGATTTCGTCATCAGCTGACATCAGTTAGAGAACCATTGGAAAACCTAAGCGTACTCGACAGCTGTTTCGTCATAATTTAGGACTCTTCATCAGCACGCACCTACCGCGGCTGAAGATGATGACCTACAAGTTATAAGGTGAGCCCCCAGACTATTAATCCACTGGGATCCGATCCAATGGCCAGTCCATGAATTGCAGCTTCTAACAATTCACGACATAGCGCGACTACTAACCAGTATCTTCGGCGAGTGTTTGTCCTCACACCCGACCTGCTGCATCCTGCTGGATAGGATTCCAGTGGCTTAATGGTCTACGAGCTCACTTTCTAACTAGAAGGTCCTGGGTGCGAACCCTGGCGGTGGATAAGTACTGATGAGGAGTCCCAAACTAGGACGAAACAGCCGTTCAATACTCCTAGGTTTTCTAGTGGTTCTGGAATCGATATCAGCTCATGATGAGATCCCGTATCCAATCAATCGAATCCCTACAAATCAACACCTGAAGACATTTAATTATAAGATCGTTTAAATTTAGTCGTTTGTGGGATTAATCAGCTTCGCCGTCGAGATAATTATCTAGTCACTAAAATCTGGAGTTTTCTGTCTAGTATTTCATTTGAATTTAGTAGATATAGTGAGTATTTATCGACCTGACTTTCTAAAGGGTTTATTTTATTGACACAGAAACTTCAGTTACCACAATAAAGTTATCATCATTACTGGCGTACATTCTCCATCTTTACAATAAGAGAAATTGACAGAATAATATAATTACATACTTGAGATGTGTAAGTTAAGCAATTCACAGCCAGTCGTAGTGTTCTAGCTTTTTCTTCTTTCCTTCACGCTCCCCAGTGGAACATAGGGCTTCAAGCTAGTAGCTTGAAGTTTCTGTAGCAGTGTTTATTTTACAGTATGAGGTTGCTAGCCCTTATGCCTAACCTTCCCTCTATACCAACATTATATCTGGCTTAGAGAGGTAAAGGGGTACGTCCGTGGCCGGAGATCGAACCCCGGACCATGTACATGGTCGGTGAGCGTCCTAACCGCTATGCCACCGACGCATAGCTTAGAATCTCACTAAACCTACTTCTGACTGGGCTATTGGATAGTAGGATCACTCCACATAAAATAATTGTGGCTTATAGCTTCATTCATTCGAAATAAATTTTGAATGATTGGGTTCTAATCAACTTCAGCAATAAGTTGACATCCTTAGTGTTAAATAAGTGGATATAGCGTGTATATTAATACTGGCTCTACACACTATTTAGCAGCTTTCAAAACACTAAATAAATTGAATTCTTAGCTTCCCTATGATACTATTCAGTAGCTAGGACTTCATATTATTTAGTTGCCCTTCTTTATTTCGTAAGATTAATAAAACCATTATACATATACATGTATATAATAAAAAAACATCAATTTTCCATTCATTTATTCTTTAAATTAAGAACGACCTACCATACATACTTCAATAAAACCGATTCTGGCAAAAGAGAATGAACAAGTCTTGCTACCATGTAGAACAAGTGGTACACAACCAATACGTATTCAGTGGCTTCTACCATCTGGTCAGCTAATCACAGCTGATCAACCAGGTATATTTAGGCTATTACCTGAACAAGTAAGTTTTGGTTGAAAAGACGAAAATTTAGTTTATATATATATATATATATATATATATATATATATGCATGAGGAAAAGTGTATATATCTGGTTTTATTAAATGTACATGTGACTTTCCAAAAAATCAAACCAAAAACTTAGTTTTTGGAACTAAATCAATGGTGCTAAACCAGATAAGGCTGAAATTATGGCATCACTCGTCGTTATCTTTCAATGAGACAAATGTGAGCAAAAGAAATCATGAAAGAACTACTCAATACTAAGTAAAATGCAAAAATATAATATTCCTAATGGGTGTAATTCATACATCAATGTCTGAACAGATAAAAGAAACACCGATGCAATCTTGTACATCAGGAATAATTGCGGAAGCTGTTACGGAAACGTGAGGAACCATAGTTTCTTGAACAAAAAGTTTAGTAGACTAAAAAAGTACTTTGAGTGGACACTAGTTAATAACTAGTGTGATGTTTCTAGTCCTCTGTCTCATGCAGACTGAATTCCACCAGTCAAGCTTGCAATATGGTCACAAGGCAAAGTACAGAAAAATAATGCGAAATCACCGTCATCTTTGTGAAAGGAAAGGAATCTGTTAACTAAAGTGGGCATTCTCTTCATCTCTGCATCCATCAACACCAGCTGACAGTCAAAAGACATAACGCGCATTCGACTACACCAATTCACATGAACAATTATGGAAATCAGTTCAACTGGAGAAATGTAAAAGTTTTGTAATCAGGAAATACAATTAATGCTAGAGAATTCCCAGGATCTTGGTCCACAAATCAATTTGCACTTAATGGACATGTTATATAGACCATGTGTGTACTGGGGGTGGAGAAAGAGAAACACACAAGTTCTGGAGTGCAGCAAAACCAATAGATAAACAAAAGTACAAATATGTAATCTGCAAAATAGAACTCGATTCTCATGAATGATTTTGGAGTGCAGCTCAACTTTATACTTAATAGTTTAATTTAAATTATAAACACATAAAGCATAAAGTACTACTGTTTTGTTCTTTAGGGTCTTTTAATTGAAAAAGTCCGTTCAGAACATGCTGGACGTTATCGATGCTCAGCAAACAACGAAGCCGGATTTCAGAATGCTGTTGTCAGCCTAGAAGTGCTTAGTGAGTTCTTGTTTTTTTTTCCCGCGTAAATCTCATCATTTAGGAGATTGTTGAAAGTTAGGGACCACTAGACATCTGTTTTGTCCCAGTTACGTTATTTGTTTCTTCATTTATTTGTTTCAGAACATTTAGTCAGACTTTGTTGATTTATTATGTACTGTATGAAAATATATAAAACGGTGGACTGAAATTACTTGTTTTACAAGCGTTTGCTACTTGGACATTAATGGTATGGGTGCGAAAATTCAAAACAGTTGAATACATTTTTGGTTTTGAATAGCCTAATGAAAAGAATACTTTTATTTTATTTGCTTCGTTTTGACTGGTGTGGACATTCTTTGTGTCCTAAATGGGACTTATCAAATAAATGTTCCAACAAATCATCGAATGTTGTCTCCCCACCTACGTCTGAATATTACTGCTGACTGAATATGGAATCGACCATCATGCTTTCGGTAAATTACTTTTTGCGTTGTAGATGACTTTAAAGGGGGAGGTTATAGAGACAGGGTGATCATTATCGACCAGATGTTCAGTGATCGCGCTTCTTATTACTCCACTTCCACCTCTTCATAACCATGCAGGATAGTGTTCTTGCTTTCATCTTTATTGCATGATTGAAAGTGCAATAGCTACATTTCGTAACAGAAGTAAAAAAAACGGTCAGATTTCATGAAAATTCTGAGAAACGACCAAGATGATCGAATCAATCTCTTTCTACCAAAATTTAAGGGACTTGAAGCTTTTTTTCATGCTAACCAAAGCAGCAAAGTTAAATATTTTTTATGCGGGGTTTTATACTACTTCAACTGTTAGAAAGTAGTTTAAAGAGAGACCCAGTGGGTGCGTACTGCCGATGATTCCCAAACTAGGATGAAACAGCAGCTGTCCAGTACTCCCTGGTTTTCAATGGTTCTCTAACTGATATCAATCCGTGATCAACTCGTAAAACATAACTAATCCTTACAAACCAAACTATAGAAAGTTAAAGAGAATATTCGATTTTTGAAAGATATGGTATCTCAATGGGATTTTCATGCTGCCTTTGTGAAAAATATTTTAAAACGACAGATTCTTTTTTCCTTTCTAATAGAAATGTCTGGAGAGTTTTGAATTTATTTCAATCTTTTTTAAAATTTCAGTTCCTCCAACATTAGTGAAACCGTCTAATCTAGAAGTGTCTGGACGATTGAACTCTGTCTTACGGTTGAATTGTGAAGTAGAAAGCGGTTCACCTGCCCCAACTTTAATTTGGGAACGTGACGGTGTAACATTTAGTCGGACGAAAAGTTATTATACTACAACAGAATCTGGTCTGTTCATCTTCAATTCGCTAAAGTAAGGATCTATGATAAGTTGATTGAGATAGATTTGATAATCTACATGTTCTTATGACTTAGTAATATTATCACCTTCTGTGTGGCCGTCGCCAGTGTTCAAAGACCAGTAGATATTAACGAGTAACTGACTGATTGACTGAGTGGTGAGTATTGATCATCGATAGGCAGTTTGATGAAATTGGGAAAGAAGATAGGATGGTTAATGTATTTACTGGTACTAATAAAACTCAGTTAAATAATTTTGACAAAGGTATCTCCAGTTAGTACTACCATGAAGATATAACACAGTGAGAATCCACTAAAGCTATTAGCATGAAAGCCCGAGAATCAATTATACAAGTGAATATTAGCAGAAGCGGTATGTTAATTTGTAAAACTTGAATAATAACACAGTTGGAATGACTGAAACATTATTTATAAAGGAAACTACTCTCAACACTGATAAAATATGAGAACCGTACACTGAAACTTCAATTTCTGCAGAAAATTCTGGTTGTTGCTGCCGCTTGCTACCACACCTTGTTAATTTTTCTATAACACAAAAGTTTCTGCCTTTCTATTGTCATAGTCTTCTTAGAAGGTTTTTATTTTCACAAAACTTTTGATGAACCCTTACTGTATACTTCCACAACAAGGATATCAGTAGCTTGCTTCACAGAATGTTCACTATTGTGCCTTCTGTTTACAACCGTAAACACTATAAATTAATGTTTCGGTTTCTAAAAATGAAGAGGAAACAGAGACACAGGATAAGCTTAATCAGGTTCACGTGTGAAATGTCTTATTAGGAGCTGAATTAATAATTAATGACGATGTCAGTATACATGTCGTAAACAATAGTAATAATAATAATAATCACTGTCTATAAATTTCAATATATCTGAGTGCAACTGAGCTGAATGCTTTTTTTTCTCTTGTTAATTAAGGCCTGAGGATGAAGGTGAACTTACGTGCATTGCCAAAAATGCAGCAGGTGAAGACCGTGTAACTTTTCGTGTATCCGTTCTAGGTAAGTGAATATTCATTTTCAGAGTTATTGAGAGTTGAAAACATTATATTTTTTATATATGTAATTAAATATGAATATACATATATGAAAAGTTGCATCAGGCATTGTAAATAGAGAGAACACAGTGATTACACCATGAGTTTATGCCGCTTAGCTAATAAAAATGTAACCTAGGCAAGGGATTTTAGAATGATAAGTGCAATTAACAAGTAGTTAATATGCATGGATATCATTTAGTTACAAAGCCTGTATATTGAAAAGGTAGAACAAATAGAGAATGAAATCTTGAAAAGACCAATACTAAAGATATACTTGGATTTGTTTGTAAAGAGTCTATGGAAGTAATTCACCAGCAATAAAGGTGTTATGAAAGACTTTATTCACAAGAGTTAATTACAGTTGTCACATCATAGGTAGGTTGGACGCCTTGAGATTGAAAGTGCTAATCAACTTGTTGAGTTGAATGAAACAGGTCGGAAAAAATCCTATGCTCACTTAGTGTTGAGATTTATTTTAAGTGTTTCCTCATCAATAAGAAACTTCTGCTAGAAGTATTTAGTGAAACAGTAAATTTGTCTCATTCAATGAGTGACTTTTCAATGTTAAATATATATTATACTTATTAGATGGAGCCCAGATGGAGCTGAAAGTTATACGAGATAATACTCTACTTAAGGTTACTCTGAAAGGATCAGATATACTGGCAATATGTGATTTCGCATGACTGCCAATACCATGAAATGCCTAAGCCTTACCAGTTTGTTTTCATCACATTAAGTACATTATATCTTTTGATTTAATATGATCAATTACTAAGATACATTGTTCGGTTTCTTTTTATAGTTCCACCACGTGTCTCTCTACCAATTTCAACTATTGGCTATGAAGGCAAATCAGTTACAATGAATTGCGAAGCTGATGGTCGTCCAAAACCTGAAATTATTTGGGAATTCAGAGGGCAACCGCTAACCAGTTATCTGGATGATCGTGTTCGTTTCGAAACACCAACAAAGGTTACAATACATGATTTGAAGGTAGGCGTTAATTGAACATGCTGATTTATTCATAGGTAGTGTGTTTCTCAATAAAACGGCTAAGAAAAGGGTTCTGGCTGAAATACATATTTCCCCTTTTAGTATTGATTATAGGTATCTGCTAAAATCACTGAACAGAGTACTAATAAATAAAATTAAAGAGAAAGAAGTGATTCGTGTCTAGAAATGAATAAACAATCGACCAGGTTATCAGTTCAACACTCTATTCATATTGGAAATACCCACGTAGATATTTAAAATCAAAAGATGCATTGAGCAAAGAAATATATTCCATTTCAGTCGGTTTTTTATCACGTGGTATGCACTCAAAAGTGCATAGAAACGTGTTAAATGTGCTATGATTATGAGGCGTAGACTTTGCTGAAAACATTAGCCGGCTATTAATACTACATCGTTGTGTGTTATATGAAATAAAACTATCTAATATGGAGTACATCTAACAACCCAGCTGAACTTTGTGTTATCTTTGACATGTGAATCGATCTTGTTGTGGATCTTAGTCGTTGAAGTGGTAATCATCAGAGTTGTTGTAGCCAATGTTTAGCTGCTGACTACAATTTAGGTGCGTATTAGATATCCGGAAAGTATAAACAACAATTAAATCTGCCGGGCAGCGAACCAGCCAAGGGCATACTTTAATAACCAGCATTTTCTCTAAAAACCAAATAAATAATAATAATAATACTCTTCTATGGTGATATTTCGTTTCACTTTTACATAAATAGCCTACTGATGGAGGGACGTATTCATGTATTGCTCGTTCTCCTGGTCAAGAAATGGCAATGGATTCCACCTTCTTGACAATTTTCAGTAAGTTTTTTAAGAATTCACTTTATATTCAAATAAATGTATAGTTAACTGGAAATAAAAAGGCATTCATAGTAATTGAAGCTTGTACTTACATTTCCAATGTTCTGATCATTTATTGAAACTGAGAAGGAAATAAATTCGAAGTACTTGAGAAGGTATAACTTCAGCAAATTTATTATCAAAGAACTTAATCCTAAGATCCCACTATTTCCGAAGACGCTCAGAATGGATAAACCACTAGGCACAGAAATCGTCTTTGCTTCAAAAGCAGAATAGATGGCAGGAAATTTTATTCTCCCTTGTCAAAAATCAATATTCCATACTAAGTTTTTATTCATATTCTTTCGCCAATGGCCACCGATGCCAATAAACAATACTCAGTGTTCATAATCACTGGCAGTATTCTGTGGGTGATCTGTAACAAATGATGACGGGAATTTAGCCTATGGTTTGAAAGTTGATGAACAAGTACAATAAAAAACAATTGTTATTTGACTATGCGAAGCTCCTGTGATGAGACTTCATAAAATGTTAATTTTTAAAGAAAAATTGAGAACTTCCAAATCATGTATTCTCTTTTTCATATTTTTTATAAACCAAATTTATTCTGTTTGATTAATTATAGCTAAACCAGAGTTTGAGAGAACACCGAATCAAACAACTGAGGCTTATGAAGCTAGATGGATACAGTTTCGTTGTATTGCTAATGGACATCCAAAGCCAGACATTCGTTGGATGCATAATGGAAATATCATTCCAAGTCAGTTTACAATGTCAAAATGATATGTTAGATACGTTAGCAAAACATTTTTTAAAATGTTTGTTAACTACAATATATTCCTTCATATATCCAAAAGAGTTTTCTCTTGAGATAAGGTTTAAGAGATTCCTGTTTATATAGTTTCTAACTAACCCATAAATTACCAAGCGTTATAATACAAGTTGAGATGACAGTTAAAAACATGGAATTGTCACGAGGAAACATAATATGAGCTTGTTGTAGACAGTATGCATATCATGGCACATTACTACGCACAGATACTATAAACTATTATGAAATTTGAAGCCGTAATCTTTCTGTTACTTAGCTTTATTATTACAGAATATACTTCTCTAAAGAGAGATATTCTGTAAGGATCTTCTCCGCTTGTCGATAACTTTGTCACATCTCAGAGGTGTTTCCCAATTAGTTTTAAAGTGATCAGGTGTAACGTTATTTCTTGACATTTCCATCACAGTGAGCCTACTGGAAAAATAATTTTCTTGAGTTTTAATGAGAAATTGTGATTTCTGAAGTATACCAAGTCAGACGGGAGAGTGTGTATTCTAGTGGCGCTTCCTCACAAAAAAATCGAGAATAGTAAACCATTGGTCATTTAATTTCCATCTGCCTTTGTCGAGGCGTTTCGAACTAGGATAAAGTAGGTATTCAATACTGCTTTCTTTCCAAAACTTAATCGATTAACTTTTCTCAGACTTAAAGATCACTACAGCCCACCTATTACCTCAACCAAAGTCACTGTTTTCGTGTTCAGTACCAAATTGTAGATAAATGTTGGTTAATGATGCGGACAGCCATTTCTTCAAACCTTCGGATCATCACTTTTGGGGCGTTTTAACCGACTGTATCAAAAGAATCATTCAAGTGAGCAGATTCTTACAAAATTCCATTTAACAGAACGGAATTTAATGTAGCTACATTAAATGTAACTTACAATGTTATTATTGGCATATACCGGGACCTAGTGTTTTTTCAAGCTGAGTGAAGATATTGGCGACCGTGAGATTCTTTGGCATAAAGAAAGTTACGGTAAATTGTCCGGTCAAGTGACGAAACATTTGTGATCAGTTGCTGTAAAGTACCAGAAAACATTACAACTGTCCCTCTCATACCTAATTTTACGTTTTCTATCGATTCACTAAAGTTCTGATGAGTTCTTTAGTGATAAAAATAAAATATCACCAGCCGCCAATTCAATAACTTAGTAATCAAGAAGCTGTGAACCTTAGGTTGTAACAACTACAATCATTACCCCTACAACTAGAGTGCTGTGTTCAGATAAAATAATTTTAATGTCCGCATAACGAGTGTGGTTCATTTTGGGGTTGTTGTGTTGTGTTGACTTGGATAGTTCCATTCTCGGCATCATCTCCTGTGCTAAATTCAAAATAATTATTTTCCTTATTTTATCCAGGTAATCCAAGTAAAAATGGAGTTGGTTCATTGGTTCTTGGTCCACTAAGAACTGATCAAGCTGGTCGGTATACTTGTGCAGCCAAAAATGATGCTGGAAGTATTGAATACGATTTTGAACTGAAGGTTAAGAGTAAGTGCTTTTTCCATTATACTACTACTACTACTAACAGCGAATCCAGAAATGATGGTCATACTGTTTTCATTTGTAGGGTACCTGTTGACTCCCCAGGCAGTATGTATGTTACTAACGTTATTTTGTTTGTATACAGTTCCTTTATCTTAGGATGAACATGTGTGTATTTTAATCAATCTTCAAACATAAAGGATTAAGTTACTTACATTATGATGAATCTACTGGAGATTTTTCTCCATAGATTTGTGTCAAAAACAGTCATTTGCCCGTAGTGTAGTTCATGCACAGTCTAAGTATGTAGCGCAGTATGTTGTGTGTTTTTTTAACGTAATACTACATAGGCTCATATATGGAGTGCATATGATTCTGTTTGACTTCACTATTTAGTCATTTTCATTTGATTTCATTTCTCGGGTTTCGGAGTTACAGTATGCATGAAAATTTTATTTCCTTTTCAGCCCGTCCTAAAGTGCATGTCTATCAGTCAGATGAACCACCTAAAGAAAGTGATACAACTCGTCTACGATGTGAAGTTAGTGGAGATGCTGATTCAGTTATATGGTTAAAAGACGGCAACAAGATTTCAAATTCAAGTCGTTTTCGTATACTAGACAGAGGTTCCAGTCTTGTCATCAAAATGGCAAAGGTTAGTGTTGGTTTTCCTCTTTTGTTTTACTAAACTCGAGGATTTGCTGATTATCTATTCCTTTTATTTTGGATTTATAATTTTCAACTTCCCCTTTAGGAATTAAAATGTTACTGAGAGCTTTAGGGGGGAAATGCCGTCTCAGACAACACCTCTACAGATGGTTTTCATCCTTATTCTCTATTTATTATTCACTGCATAGATTCTGCTTAAGAATAACCATCAAAACGAAGTGTATCATATAACAAGACTTTTTTTCACACCTGTCACACAATCCTCGGTGAACAGTCAAGTTATCTGCGAAGAGAAGTTGACTAAATATCTATTGTATGTATTATTCAGTGTAAATGAACTTATATAAAGTGACTAAAATTGTAACTGTATGAAAACGCCCACCAAATTATTCAAACTAATATAACATTCAACTTCGAAGCTTATAGTAAACTTGTTCATATAATGCTACTACAGTATGTAGTAATTTTAAGACTGATTCCAAGTTTTGTCATTTGAAAAACATTATTGGATTAAAGACTGTCATTTTTAAGTAAACAAAATAAATGCTTTAATCGCTACGGGACGAGCCCGCTGGTTATTTAGCCAATAGACTGGTATATAACCACCTGTGAATTCTAACTCCTGCCGGTTCACGAATACAGAACCACTGCTATCTAACGCCATCGATGAGTATCGACTTCACATTAGAATTAGTAGATACCACCGAATATGACTTGTCATTGAAACTTAAGGCTAGCTACGCTGTGATCGAAATCTCCCCCAAACCCGAAATCTAGATATAATCATATGTTGTATGTCCCTTTTGTATGAATGCAAAATTGTTGATGTGAGTTTAAGGAAAGGCATATTATACAAATATAAGGTTCGCAGTCAAATGACTTGGTTGAAAATATTTTTTTTTCTTATTGGTTTATTCAGTTTTAACCTGTTCATTAGATAGCAAGATTACATACAACGTGGTGATTTAAACCTAACTTTTTTATAGGCCAGAGATACAGGGACCTATCAGTGCATAGCAGCTAATCCGGTCGGTGAAGATCTTGGTGAACTTCGTTTAGTTGTGGAAAGTAAGCTAGAATGTTTTTGCTTATTTTTAAATAAACGTGAAAGCTTTTTAAATAATGTAAGTAGGACACTTCGAGAAACACTGTACGCCCTGGCATTACTACTAAAAATTCCGAGTGCTTTTTTACAGAATGATTCAGTTTTGTACAGTATGATCAAAAGCTATCAAGTTTATGATTCAAGGGATCCATTAGTTTTATAGGAGGATCATATTACATCGTGACTGCTGGTTGCCTATAGTGACCAGGTCAGATACTATAAGAATTAGACAGTGATAGTGAACTAGTCGCTTAAAAGTTCCCATGTATGTTATTACTATTATTTATTTTGAAACATATGTCATTATACTAAGGCAAAGTACAGAGAACGCCTTAAATTTCAGTTTATTCGTCTTTTGACCACGTTTATTTATGTGGTGAAAATATCTAAAATGAAAGGAAGAAGACTTTGTTAACAAATAAATATAGTTTATGGTTAATGAATGTTAGTTAAGGAATCCACTGTTTGAAAACCATTTGGCTTTTCACCATTATTCGGTGTGTCGGTGATGCAATAATAAAGCACTCATCCACCACGAAAGTGGCCAGGGGTTCGATATGCGGCTGACAAACTCTTAAATCTCGCCTAGCCGGTGGTGAACCTGTTAACGAGGGACGTTCGGGCGTAAGGCTGGTAACCTCACTCTGTAGAAACAAAACCTCTGCCGCAGAAACTTGAAAGCTCATACTTGAAGCCCTATGTTTCAGTCGGGACGTGAAGATATAATATATAAAAATATATTTGAAGAAACTAATTTGTCTGCTTGCGGTCTCATGCACCCTCACTGATACAATTGGCGGAAATGTTCTGGTTGTCAGCATGCTGCTAAGTGCATAAGAAAATCCGTCTCAGTATCCGGGATGAAAGTGCGTTAAATTTACTTCCGATGTGGAAAGCCATAACAACAAGTTACCAAAGAAGTACATTCAAGACATAAATCCCCATTACAGCAGAGATTCATTTTCAAGCACACTTCTCCTTTGATATGTATATATATATCCTGAATGAGATCGCCTCCTGTTGTATCAGGGCCTTCGTTGCCGTTGGTGACATCATGATAGTCACACTGTTGGTGTGCTCGTGCTTGTCATCTGACTCTCTCATTGACAATCTTGTGAGTCCGCTGCCATTCTATCTGCTTTCACATATTCCCACTACTTGAATGCTATATCTCTTCATTCCATTTGCAATCTGAGCAGTTTTGCCAGTCTCATACGTAGTGCGGACGTTCTCTGTCCCCATGCAGACTTTTTCTTTTGTCGCAAGGAGACTCATTGTACTGAAGTTTCTGTTCTTCTCATCAATCGTGTATCGCAAACGATTTAGCTTGAAATAACCAGATTAATTTAAAATACCATTATTCTGAATGGTTTTTTAAGTTTGTTCATTATACCTCTCGAACAATTAATTTTAAAACACCTAATTTTAAGTAAATTGAATCACTAAAAAAAATAACAGTTTAGCCGAATCAGAATATTCTTTTATATAACCTCCTCTGCAGGTTAAGCAGTTAAGGATGATGAATACTTAGATGAAAAGACCTTCAAGCAGGTAGGCAGGACGCTAGAAGTCTGATGCTATACGACCCTTTATTTCATCTTCATTCGTAACCTGTCTCGTAAGTATTAGCTTGCAAATTCAAGGTTATCTAAGACAGCCTTGCCGATCATGAATAAATATCAAAATCAAGTATTCTAGGAAGATCCAATCCAAGGAAAAGACTTATTATTAGTTTCTGAATTTCATGTTAAATAAACTGAAACACAAGCAAATGTCAGATAAGATTACATGAGGAAACAAGTGGAAAATTTTTGTTTATTCAAATAAATTTTAAGAATTGTTGATATGAGAGAAGTACGCATAGTAATAATGAATACGAAACGTGAGGATTTTCATAGAGTGAATAATTTACTAGGAATGGGTTGATTTAAAATGTTTTGGTGACGTACCCACATCATTTGGAGAACCAACGAGTTACATAAAGAATGTGTAAGCCATAACTGGTGAGTCGGTGGCTCAGAGGTGGAACACTCACCAACCAACGACGTGGTTCAGGGTTCGATCCCCGGCCGACTCATTTCTAAACCTCTCTAAGCGGTCGGTAATGCCCGTAAAGAGGGGAAGTTGGGTGTGAGGATAACAACCTTACCCTGTAAAAATCAGACCACTACTATCGAAACTTCAAAGCTCTAGCTTGAAGGCCTAAGTTCCACTTGGAACGGGAAGGCATAAAACTTTTTAAAAAGCTACACATTGAGAATATAGAATTTTCAGTCCAATACAACCACAACTGCATTTAAGGTCAATTTTTAGCCATCGAGGCTAGTTGTCAGCATGTTAAAATTTGACAACTGGCTTGGAATCCAATATTTTTCCAGCGCAACATATACCACAGTCATCTAAGGAGTTACAGATGCGCATTCCCGGTATTTTTTCATTGGTTTTCTGTAGTAGTACCCGGTGGTACTGAGAAATGTACCGAAGGAGAAGGTTTTAAAATATTATCTTTTGTAGCAGCTTGAGCAATCTATTGCTTTGAAAGATTCCATGTCTTTTTGCAGGGTATGAAGTCGTTTTGTCTTACCTAAATAAACCACAGTTATTATCCATTCCTTCTGAAGCTGGTTTTTACGGAGAAATTTCTAATTTTTTGTTAACTTTGAATCTTTGTGATGGAATAAATAAGCGTTCTCATATCATAACCGACTGTTATGTTTTTTTATAAATTGTAAGTACTATTAGCCTGCTGTTATGCAGTAGTTTTTGTTTCATTTCCCAGGTAAACCATATCTTGTTACCTATCCAAATAATATGACTGCTCAAATTGGAAGTGTAGTCACGATGGAATGTCTTGCAGAAGGTCAGCCAAAACCAACTATAACATGGTATAAAGATAAACAATTAATCACACTTCATGGACATCGTTCAGTTGTAAATAATGGTTCTCTGAGGTAAGTAAATAAAAAATGTGAAGTAGCTGGGAGTTGCATATATTTTTTTTAGCTATCTAACTACCAGTGACATCAATAATACAAAATTCAGAAGAGTGAAAAACAAAAGTTGAACCATGTAACTGAAAGATATCTTCTCCTTGAATTAATAATGCGTTTCGAAGGTGTTATTTAGTCGAGGCAACCGCCCAGTCAATGAATACAGAGTTTTTATTCACTAGCCTATCAGTGCTCATGGCTAATATATTTTTACCTAGATGTATGTTAATGGAATAATAATAATAATAGCTTTATTCCAAAAACAGTACTCATGATACAGCAAGGAATTTTCAGCATTCAGTACAATATTGCATCTAATTTACTCAAAAACGACAAAAAAAATTAAAAATACACATTACATAATAGTAATAAAACGATTGTTATAGCAGCTACGTAGCAAAATACTGTGTGCCATACGGAGAAAAATATGTATAAAGTACAAAATTGTAGTAATAATAGTAATACCAACTAAAAATAAAATAGCAGAGTAACGATTTAAACGATAGAAAGTGTGACACCATAAAATACAGAAAGATGAACGATAAAAGGGTCGATTCACTGTGCTAATTACATAGTAACTTGTAAGTTTCACGTCTAACAGAGTCTTCGTCACATAAAGTACGCGCTAAATAGGGTATTGTAGAATTTCTATACTTAGTAGTACGAGCATATATCTTTTTATATTGACTTCTCGTCCTACCTGATGAGATACAAGGGGACAGGTGTGAATAAAGGGGGTGCAGAGGGTCTGACATTATAGCCTTTGCCCATTTCGTACAGGAATTTATATGCCTCTCGACTATAGTATTAGCGAGCTCATGCAGTGGCAGACCACAAGCTCTACTCACAGCATTTAATACTCTTCGTAATATGATATAATCTTTTTTGAGCAGCCCAGGAAAGATTAATGGAGAGCAATAGAGTACAATAGGTAAAATACAGGAGTTTAAAAATTGCAAAACTAAAGGTTGGTTGATACCTGATTGTCTTAACTTTTTAATGTAGAAGGTAAGACGAAACATTTTCTTAGAGATAGATAAGATATGGGATGACCATGAAAGGTCAGAGGAAAAAACTAATCCAAGGTATTTAATGCTTGATTTGGTTTCAATTTCCGTGCCATCTATGCTACAGGGATCATGCGAGTTAACTAGTTCAAGTAAGTCACGTCGATGCTTGAAAGTAAAGTCAAGCGCCTGACATTTGGAAGGATTTAATATAAGACCATTTGACTTGGACCAGTTGTTGATGTCCAACAGAAAGCTATTAAGTTTGGAGCTGTCAGACTCGGAAGTGATAGGCAGTGATACAGTCAGATCATCTGCATATTTGACAAAGTTAGTTTCGTTTGAATGAGGTAGGTCATGTAGGAAGAAAGAAAAAAGAAAAGGAGAGAGGACAGCACCTTGTGGAACACCGGATTTTGTAAGCGAGGTAGAAGAAGATTTGCCGTTATATACAGTATACTGCATTCTATCAGAAAAATAGGAATGCAACCAACTCTTAGCCCAGGATCCTGTTTGTGTCAACGATAGCTTATTTAACAAAAGGCCCCTAGGTACAGAGTCAAAAGCAGATGTGTAGTCTAAGAAAGCACTACGAACATATTTAGCACCTTTGTCTAAACAAGAGACAACATTGTGATATAAGAATGGCATAGAAACTCAAGACCAGTTATCTGGTAGTTAAACACCCAAGCCGGAAATACCTATTATATACATATGTCTAATGTCACATAAACTCGAAGACTTACAGGTGAAAACCAACAAACTAGTTGAAAAAGCAGCGAAGACAGGACTCTAAGCTAACAAAGAGAAGACGTAGGTGATGCAAATAACCACCAATAGCAGCAACGACAACAACCAGTACTAATCACAATCAACGGGAGAGATTTAACAGAGGTTACTTCCTGCCTTCACTCATCTGGGAAGCACAGTTTCAACCACAGACAGTGGGACGGATGAAGATGTCAAAGCCAGCCAGCCAGCCAACCACTCAGAATCGGAAAGGCAAGATATGCACGCCTTCATCATCCTGGAATCGATTTGGAAATCTTCTGCACTGCACTCCGCTTCAGCATAAACAACAAGATTCGGATTTTCAACACCAATGTCAAGTCAGTTAGTCCTTCCATACGGGTCAGAAACTTGCACTGTGTGACAGGGGAAGGATTTCCAACAGGTCACTGCAGACTTTTATCAATAGCTTCCCCATTCTGTTGCTTCAAAATGAAGGTCAAATGACCAGCCGGTGAGAAAAAATTAGCAACAAGAGACTCTGGCTGAGAACCGACCAACCAAGAGCCGATTGCTCAATAGATATGTAGGGGAAAGTGGAGATGGATCTGGCAAACGTTGGGGAGGCCGTCGAATGACCTCTCGAGTAGAATCCCAATGGCAAGTGGCGACGAGTGAGTGATCTGTGCGGGGGTGACATGGAGGAGATCATGGAACGAGGAGGGAATGAAAGATTATGGGGAATCGTGGACCCGGCTGAAAACGACGGCAGAAAACAGAAGAAAGTGGAGATATGTTGTTGAAGCCCTATGTTCAACTCGGAACTCAAGGGAATAATAATAATAAAGAAACTGAGTTCCAAAATAGTCATGTTTGTCTTAGCACATCTAAAGCAGACTGAATGAAGTTATATGTTGAATAATGTGCATGGAAGAATTCCAGAAGAAGTAGTGAAATACCTCGTTTACATTGTCTAATACTTTGTTAGTTTTAAAATAAAGTGAGTTGTCTTTTAATTTGAAATATTAGAATAATCGATTTTACATTTCAACTCCAATTTGAAGTCAATCAGTGCTACTCACTATACGGATCAGAGACTTGGCCAGCGCCTCATAAAGAGCATCTCAAACAAACTTCAGACTTTCATTAACAGCTGTCTTCGCTCAATACTCAAGATCAGATGGCCAGAAAAGATCACCAACAGGGATCTCTGGCAATGAGCGAACCGACACAGCAGGAACCGATTGTGAAACAAATAGGCAGGAAGAAATGGAGGTGGATTGACTGGCCATACTCTGATGAAACCAACAAGTGACATCACTAGACAAGCCATCGCTCGAGTGGAACCAGTAAGGGAAGCGGGCGGTGAGTTGGTCGTCAGTGTGAGGGTGACTTGGAGGAGGTCGTGTGAAGAGGAGATGAAAGCGTGTGAGCAGACTTGGGGCCAGGTGAAAACTGAACGCAGTGGAGACGTGTGGCTGAAGCCCTATGTTCTTCTAGAAAATTAAAGGAAATAATAATAATGCCTACTGTCCTTAAAATTCATCTTTCCGTCTGAACACAGCCATGATTTATGAATAGGAGTCTGAACCTGACGACATTTAGTAATGTCAAGGGATTTTATTTGGTGAACGATACTCATTGAGACGTTTTAGGTCACTATTACGATTCAATAAATTTAGAGTGAACAGAAAATTGAGACAAGGAGTTAATATAAATTCAGAATATGTCTAATTACATTTTCTGCCGTCAGTTCCATATTTCTTCAAAGTCTCACATACTCAGTGCATTTGCCCAGTTTAATATCGAATTAAAACAGTTACTTCTCTGAACGCTTTGGATTTTCTAATGTTTTAACTAATTTATATAGCTTTTATTAACTTTTCATTTAATTGTGTTGTGATTTCAAGAAAATCAGTCTAGAGAACAGATTTCATAGCGTGAGCAGTAGTCTCAAAAATACAGTTTCAATTCATTAATTTAATTATCCCAAATTTTAGAATTGTTGGAGTTTCATCCGATGACGACGGTTTGTACCACTGTGTCGCATCTTCAAGTTTGGGTGAAGATTTTTCACCCCCTGCATTTTTACAAGTCCAGTTAGATGGTCGATGGTCACCGTGGTCTTCATGGTCAGAGTGCAGTCAAACATGTGGGCATGGAACACAATCAAGGTAGATTGAGCTTGCAATGTAAAGTTTGATTATGAGCAGGTGTTTTATTATATTAGCGCTAGTGATTTTGCAAACGAACAGTTCATCGTTTTAACATTAATTTCATTAAGTCTGCTAGAAAAAGATCAGCAATATCCACGAATGACTTTAGAGTCTACTCGCCACATTTTTGCCTATATTATAAAAACAGTCAAACGAATATAATAGGGAATTCCGACTACCATGGAGATATGTAGGCTATGATGTCAGTCCCAGTCTCAATAAAGTATTGATGGGAGGAGATCGGTGGTAGTCGATAGGAAAAGCTGGTTCAGGTTTCTTACCTGTGTTACCCAGTGCTGTAGCCAGAGATGTTGCCACTGGTCTATTAGGTCTCATGACTGACCTCCTAGTGGGCTTCAATGTATCTACTTATTAATCACTAGAGAGTAACTGTTGTCGTGTATCTAACCACAGGTTCTAGATCTGTGACTTCGCACTGATTACCTCCAACTATCTAATGTTAATTCAAACAGGCCATTTACCAAGCTTGAATACCACTGGGAACTGATGGAATTCAGTCATCCCAAACACTAAACACTAGATGCATTACACTGGTTTTCTTGCAAAGAACACTCAACATACTTATGAGAAGTCTCAGAACTATGACAACTGAAGTTACAATAATGAATTTAAAAGTTACTGAATTCCGCTTTACAGATACAAGATTAATAGCACTTTATACAGACTTTTAATACGTTTCTATATCAATGACCACGTGTTATAGGTCCATTCTACCTAAAGTAGGTATGAACCATCCAGAAAAGTAGTAGAGAAATCAATTTCTGTCAGTTTAATATGAGTTATTTTCATTTATGTGAGTACATTCACAAATGATTGACTAATCATTTTAAAGATGCCTTTGTTGATTTTGTTTGTCTTTAAAGTTATCTAGCTACTTATTGTGTCAGTTAAGTATGGACATTTACAGCGACTGATTTATAATACATTGTTAACCACTGGAGAAAGTTCCATGCATCATTTTAGAATCTTACACCTTAAACCGTGATTTTGGTAGGAGAACCAAGTTTTCTCGTATGCTTTCACTATGTTTTACGTCAGATTTCCATATTGCTTCTCACTTTAGACCTAGTTGTAAAAAGAATTTTAACAGTGAAAAAGTAGAGTTTCTAGAATATTTAGTATGTGTTAATAGTGATTGTAAGTGTGACTATGTTTTCATATTGTTTTTACTTCAGTAGTAAAGCAAATGGATAATTAATTTCAAATGACATTATGATATTTATTAGGACTCGTAAATGTACCGATCCAGCTCCAAAATATGGCGGTGCTCATTGTTTTGGAGAAACTACTGAAATCCGTTCTTGCTTAGTATCGTTCTGTCCAACAGATGGTGAATGGGGCAGTTGGACACCTTGGTCAGCTTGTACAGCTACATGCGGCGCAGGGTTATCTCAAAGACGAAGGCGTTGTGACAGTCCACCACCAAGTAATGGTGGCAGGGTGAGTGTTAACTTCATTTATAATTATTATGTATACAAATAAACTACAAAAAGGGTAAAATCACGAAGTAACAGTACCTATAGGTTTGCCTAAAAGCCTATGCGAAATGATGTAAACATAAAGTAGTCCAGACTCAACTGCATTTGTTTTGCTGGGTTTTTTCCATTATTTTATCTTTAGTCTTGAACAACTTAGCCTTTTCGTGGACGTTGTGAATGTTGTGCACTGGGGTTGTTAAGCTTTGATGGCTTTATGGATTGATTCTGTTCTCTGGTCTACTCTTTCCTGAGCTTTAACAAAATTTGTTCATAACTTGACATTTCGATACTCATCAATTCTTATAATTGTATTGATAATATTAGTAATAACTATTTTTGCTGTAACAGCTGTATTTTGAACAGCATATCCTTCGAACAAGATGGTGATCGAAAGTATTTCATGTGATACACTATGGTTGCGTCTAAAACAAGCTCTAATACCTTATGACATTTCCCCGTCATTTCCTTCGAGAAGTGCACACCAGTAGATTTTATCAGAATTAGAAACATATGAGTACATGTCGTGAACCGATAACATAATTGGAGGGTTAAGAGAATAAAGATTGGAGAAGTAAACTGGATGGAAACTTAAGCTGGCTGCTGTATAAAATTCGATCTTACTAATGTCTAGCCACCGTTTTTGATGAGACAATGATAGCTAAAGAAGTCTAGGCAGCTAGAATAAAAGGATGAGACCAGTGCAGTATTTAGTGTATGAAAGTGTTCAGTTGTAAATAACCGCAATGCTACCGGCAAAGATTGTCTACTTTTGTTGTTGATTTTTACACGACCAATCGGGTAAATGATTTCACTTTTGATTGAATGTTTATTTTATTAATTGAGTTTTGTTTGCTTTTATTCAGCCATGTGTTGGTGAAGCCGTTGAAGATGTGATGTGTGAAGGTCTTCCACCTTGCCCTGTTGGTGGTAGCTGGTCACCATGGTCACCGTGGTCAGAGTGTTCGTCCACCTGTGGTGAAGGAGGTACACAAAATCGTAGGCGAACATGTGACAATCCGCCGCCGTCAAATGGTGGTAGGTCTTGTCCAGGTCAAGAACTAATGGTAAGTTAAATTAGAATATGTTTTAATTATTATATGGTAAAAAAAATAAACTTATTTAGACTTTTTGGATTATATTTTGCTGTAATAACAAAAAACGCCTGGATTATTTTCACTTGTATCCTAGTAAATAACGATTAAATTAATATTCATTGTTCTTTAAATTCAATGGTTATGTGTTTAGAGTTAAGATTTAGGATTAATTCACCCTGCAAAAAGTTATCGAATCGTTTAAGTTTTGTTCTGAATTGTTTTATTTAATTGTCATAAGAGTAATAAATTCACTTGTCATGATGTTTCGATTCCAGGTGAGGGCTTGCAATCGTGGTCCATGCCCAGTGAATGGAGGATGGGGTAAATGGACTTCATGGTCTCATTGTTCGCATAGTTGTGGTGGAGGTCAACGTCGGCGTACTCGTTTGTGCGATAGTCCAGCTCCAGCGTATGGAGGTGAAGACTGTCCACCAACAGGAAGTATAGAAACTTCTGAATGTCAGTCGGAAGCATGTCCAAGTAGGTTGTTACATATATCGATTGCACTTTTAATACTAATTTCAAATAATTAACAGATTTTCACTGGTAATATCTTTGTATTGTTATTGTAGTTTTTTAAACTGAAAGATGAACTGCTTGTTTATGTAAACAGTGAAATTTGTCCTTTTCAAGTTCCTCAAAAACACTAAATACAGGTTTGAACAAATAGTTAGGCAGCTATCAATTGAATTTTTGATCAAAACCCAGCCGACTCCGACTTTTATAATTTATCGTAACTGCAACTGCTTGTTAAGAAAAGTAGAAGAGATATTATACCTGGCTAAATCATTAGTGAACTGATTATGTATGCATGAAACTTATTTTAAATGGATGTGGACTTCCTCAGATACCGTTTAAATAAAACAAATTGTTCTGTTAAGCAAAGGCGAGATAATTAAGCGCGTGTTCAAAATCGGAGGATATATAACAAAGAACTGATAAGAATTCGCCATAATCCGAGCGAAATCACACTCGTGATAATATATAAGTGTAGTTTTGTATCATTCATCTTTAGCATAATGCCAACCTAAGCGAATAATTCATATTTCAGGATGTGTCATACATAAAATAAGAAGTAAAATTATCAGCTTTGCTTGCGGAATCCATCAGTAATGGTAACCTCTGATTTAGGATTTTAGAAATATTCAAATGTTGTTTTGTAGGCATTCTGTTGACTTCAACTCAGGTCACAGGATGACATCAGTTAATGAACCACTGGAAACCAGGCAAAACTGAACAGCTGTTTGATCCTAGTTTGTGTCTCTTCAGGAGTATGTACTCATGAACCTATTAATTTCAAGAACTCTCTCTCTCTCTCATGTGGTCACTGTTTTCATTCAAAGAAAATCAGTGTACTGTAGGAAATTTTTAGTTTAATAACAACGAATGACTGTGGTTAAAATTTGCACATGAAGTGTATTCAGTTAGGTAATGAACATCACACGAACAAATCAAAGATTGAACGGGAATATATTAGCAACATAATAGAATAGATATCAGCAAAAAGTTTGAGCATTGTGGATTAGATCGAATAAAGTATGATTATATTTCAATAGTTTACACACAATGATAAGTTCAGCTCATCCACTCACGGCAAAATGAAGATTAATACAAGGTTTTGCAGATAGAATACGTAGACTTACAACAACACCAGAGGACCAGCGTAAAGAAATGAATGTCCTACTCAAAGTGTTACTCAACAACAACTACCCTAAGGAATTTATGAAAGATAATATAAAAAAGAGGGTAAACCTGGAGAGTGACAAGACGGAAGAATGCAAACAATCAGTTACAATACCATACAAAAATGGTACGTCAGAGGTAATTCGAAGAAACCTCAAAAATAGTGGGATTCGAACAACATGTAAACCGACAAATCTAATAAAAAATAAAATAAATCAACTGAAAGATATTATTAATAATGCTTTGAGAAAGCTATTAGCATTAAATAGCGAAACGTTTAAAAACAATGTCGTTTTGTTTTTCATTCATTGGGAAATACAAAAACCTATATTACAACTGAAAAATCCCATAAAAATGATGGATAAGAACAATCTGATTTACAAAATATCTTGTGCTGAGTGTCCGACTAAATATGTGGGTCAAATATTCAGATCATTCAAAATAAGAGTGAATGAACATAAACGCCTGTCTAACTAAAGGTCAACCAACAGGAACACACGCTTAGAAGAATTTAGAAAAAAATTCACCTTTAGCTGCGCATGCATGGGACAAAAACCACAATATCGATTGGAACAATGTTTGTATTCTAAATATGAACTAATATGAACAAATGGAAAGGGAGACTTATGACAGAATCTATATTCATTAAGGTCACACCGGATGCATGTAACAAGGGCGACTCAGTACAACTATTAACAACTTGGAATATAATTCTGAATATAAAAAACATGAATCAGTAAATAAATAATGAACTATATATAAGTACAAATCATAAATGTGTGAATAAAACAATTCCAACAGTGGTGTGAACACGGGCAGTAATTTTGCTCGAGATATTACCAATAACATTACTTATCATTGTGTGTAAACCACTGAAATATAATTATACTTTATAAAGAATCGAGTTTTGTATTTATAGGTGAAATTAGATAAAACAGATTATAAGAAAGATAATGCTTGTACATATTCACTGGCATAGAATTAAATGAATTTCGTGAAATGATATGATATAAAATGGGCTAGGTAAATGTGCACATGAGTTGTTAAGACTCTAAACTAAGTGGCTTCATTTATTTATGTGTACATGGCCAATATTTTTTTTTGTTTCTTTGCATTTTTTGTGGAACATAAGGCTTCAAGATCTAGGCCTTGAATTTTTAGTAGGTATGTTGTCATTTTCACAGAGTGGGATTGTTAGCTTCCAACATCCCTCCTTTTCCGGACCTTATATCGAGTGATAAACAAGTAAAGGTTTACGCTTGGGTCAGCAGGGAGTCAGACCCGGATCAAGAGTGTGATCAGTGGATTATCATAATCCTTTTCCTGTGGCATTAACTTCTACAATGACTACATCTCATTTCTAACCAGACCATTTGGAATCCATTTTATGTGAAGTGTTTCTTCTGTGAGACATCCCTTATGGTTTTTAAATTGTTCAGTTATTATTATTGGTGAAGCATAAAGGATGTGTTGATTTAACATAAGAAGAATTCATGTAGGAAACGTTAAAAAAAAATTGAAATTTTTCCTTCACGTTCCCAGTGGAACATAGGGATTCAAGCTAGTGGCTTGAAGTTTCTGCAGCAGTGTTTTATTTTACAGGATGGGATTGCCAGCCTCATACCCAACCTTCCCTCTTTACCAGCATTATTTCTGGCATACAGAGGTAAAGGAGTGCGTCGGCCGGGAATCGAACCCAGGACCATATGCATGGCTGGCGAGCGTGCTAACCACTGTGCCACCGACGCACAAAAGCGCTCCCGCGCCGGGAGTCGAACACGGGTCGCCTGGGTGAAAGCCAGGAATCCTAACCGCTAGACCACGCGGGACAAAAGCCGGCAAAACCCGGTATTCTTAGTCGGTCACCCATGCAAGTAACTAACCGGGCCCAACGTTGCTTAACTTCGGTGATCGGACGAGAACCGGTGCTTTCAACGTGGTATGGTCGCCGAAACGTTAGGGTTAAACTTATTCTGTGTATTTTTAAGCGCTGGGTGTTTGACTGAATTCAAGGCAGATTTCGACACATATTTACATCACTTAAGAAACCATTAGAAAGCAGAAAGTGCTCTAATACTGTTTCATCTTTAATTAGGGTTCCTCAACAGTACGCGTGCATGATCTCACCACGAATCGAATCAGGAATCTTTAAGACTCAGGGTAGATCAGTTCACCGTTCAGCCACCGCACTGGAATCCAAAGACCCCTGAATTATAAATTCTGTCAATTCACGATACAGAACCAACGCATTCCAATGACACTGATGAGTATTTTTCCTCATGTCTGACTTGATGGACCACACCGGTCACGGTTTCTCGTACGAACTCCAGGAAATCCATCACACAGTGTGTCACTAATGGGCAACCAGTTTTCAAATGTTGGATTACATGAATTCGATTTACAGTGTCTGCTTTATATACTATTTTGAACATGTTTGGTCTTAATTACAGTCCATGGGGATTGGTCGAATTGGTCATCATGGTCAGCTTGTTCGCGTACTTGCGGAGTTGGATTACAAAGCAGAGAACGTGAATGCACACAGCCTCAACCTCAGTTTGGTGGACGCCTATGCAGAGGTTCAGCAAAAGAGATAAGGACTTGTGAAGTACAAAAACGTGGCAGTTCAGGATTTTGTCCAGAGTCGGACATTACACAAAATCCCACTTGGTCAGAATGGTCTTCTTGGTCAGAATGTGAACCAGACTGTTCATCTAATGCTCAGATATCAGAAATAGGTGGCATAAGGCGTCGTGAAAGAACATGTACACTCGTATCAACTGAAAATGATTTAACTAGAAGTAGTTCAGTCCTACCATCTCATGGATGTCCAGGTCCGACGGAAGAGATTCAAGATTGCGTGCTTGAACACAAAGTAGATAGATGTGAGAGTGAGTCAAGCCTTTATTTTCTATGTGCATAATTATATTTGGGCTAATTTTATTAACTTTTCAATTCAAGTACCTTGAAAACTCAAATATGACATTCCTATGTAGTATGTCATAAAAAATTTTTAAAAATTTCTACTTACATATTCCGGTAACCAAAGTTTCAAACAGATCGTTTCGACACAACAGTAAGAAGACACCGTTTATCTGAGGTATGTAATACATTGGCACAACACATTTCGGATATAATAATCCCACACGTACTTGTCATGTATATCTATATATAACAAGCGATACACGGTCAAAATTAGATCAATAAGGGTTAGAATATTCACGGATCAAGATCACGGATAAAAGGTAAAAAAATGAGGTGAGAAAGAAACGGATGAAAATGTTACTACTCAAAATGAACATGGGGGAACCTGGGGATTTGAGATCATGCAGTTAGATAATCCAAAACTAGGGTGATTCTTAGCGTTTAAAAAGGTTCTCTAAAAGTGCTAGATTTGTGGTCAAAAATACCTCTTGGATTCCCATAAAGTACCTATTCAAGGGAAGCTTTTAAGTTGCTCGTCAAAATAAAATTCTGTTAATAAAATCATGTCAACCTTGATCTTGAGCTTACTGTTATTTCACTTCATATATCTCCAAAAAGGGAAATTCAGCTTGTATTAAACTCAAAGTGTACATTAGTTCAAAAATGAGCATCACATTCCTTACCGTTCACTGATTGAGTATAGTTTTTCACAGCCTTACTTAAAACCTATGTAAAAAGTGTTTTAAACTTAGGTTTCTATACAGAAATAATATCAAATCCGTAAATGCTTAAATGTTGACCCTCTTGCATTCTGAGTTGCACCGGTTGCACAGCGGTTAGGACTCTCGCCGACCATGCACATGGTCCTGGGTTCGATCCCCTGACGACGCACACCTGATATCAATGATTGGCCTGAAAAATATGGGCTACCAATGTCACATGCTGAAAACTCCATACTTGTAAAAAAATAAGGTGTGGAATCGAGCTATGATCAAAAATTTAAAAAAATTACATAAATTTATTAAGGATACACTCTTTCCCGAATTGCTATATGATGCCAGTTTCGATCTAACTTGACGTAAGCTATTTATTGTGTAAATTATAAATCTATGAACCCGTCTCTTATCAAAACATTCATGAACAGGTATCCCTTCCTAATTTGTGTAATTTTGTTTCGTACAGATGCTTTAACTCATGTTAACAAGGGGATGTTAACTGGTACTATTCGAGGTCAACTCAACAGTCAAGATTTAGGCACAATTCTTCTTAATGCTAGTTGGTTTAACTCTGGAGCAAATCGTCCAACTGCTTATGAATTTTATTTGTACAATGTACCACCAGAACGTAGTCAGTGTATTCAGGCGTTAACTGAAATTTACCTCCCAGGTATTTGGTATGCAGCACAAGAGGTAAGTTAATAAAAATATTTCTAGAAAATTGTGTTCATATCCTTGTTAAAGTTATATTCCCATTTTATAGTAACGTTTAAGTCAGTTTGGACTGTGCTTCAAGAAACAGTTATTATACTTTTCACTTGGTACATAAGTACATGCATAATTTCAAATATACTGAATAGTTTATATTCAGATGTGTTGGCTCGCTAAGGCTTCAATCAAGTTTAGTGTGCTAGGGAGTGATGACTTTTTCTAACCACCTTATAAATAAACTGTGTCTTGAAATCTTAACCTATCAACTTGCTGCTATTTTTTAAGTAAATTAGTGACCAGCTTCAGCAGCGGGAAAAAGTGTTAAAATTTTTTTTTCAGATGAAAGTTATTACATTCTTTTATTATCCAACTCGAAATTTCTAAATTTCATAGGTATCTGGTGCAACTAATGGTCATAGAGTGATGGGCACATCAAACGGAGTAACATGGGAATCTGTTGGTCAATTTGCAGATGGAAGTATGATACAGATGAGTCAACGTGTATCACGAACAAATGAGTCATACGGAGTATCTCTGACTGAATCTATAATTCACCTGAATACTGACATCCACCTATCTGGATCGTGTACATTTTCTTTAATTGATTCTAAAACAACATCAAATCCTGAAGTTGAATTACACGATTTTCATGAAGATTTAGTACAGTTAAGTCCTCAAAAAGGTAAGAAGGATTTGAGCAAAATTAAACTACTTTAAACTACTTCACTCAATAAAACTGTGTTGTGACAATTTTATTCAGCTTTCTGGTGAGCAGGGATTATTTTTTTGTATACAATGCAGCTGGTTGTTCGCTGCAAATATAGTAACACAAAAATAGCATTCTCAGTAATGAAATAGTGTACTAACAGTGAAGTCTAGTCAAAATATTCCAGAAAATAAATAGTGTGACACTTCTGGATCACACGTTATGAGGAGCAAGAAGAGTGGCATATATTAGGTCAACAAGAAGACACAGCATGGATCTTATGGTGCAGTTAGTGGGGTACCGTTCCAGCAATCAGATGACTTTTGGTTAAAATCCATCAGTAATTTCACACTAAGCTAAGCGATTATTTACCTGACCTGTAACCTTTGATTTAGTTTTCAGAAGACTTATTATGTTATTATTATTCCCTTGGGTTCCGAGTGCTTCATAGGGCTTAAACACAACACCTCCAATCTGTAATGTTCTCTGCAATCTTCTTCAGCTGGCTGCACCACTATTCATAGTCTTGCATATCTTTCATGTCACCCTCGGAAAAATGACCAACTCGTCGATTCCCACTAGAGTTCCATCTGAGCTATGGCTTGGTGCGCTATGTCACCCAGCAGTATCCTCAGCATGTGTCCAATCTGTCTCCATTTCTTTCTCCATATTTGTTGAGCATCAAGTTCTTAATTGGTTCGTTCCCAGAGCTCCTTGTTACTAATTCCTTCTCAGTGGCCATCCGATTTTCAGTGTGGAGGGAGGGTAGCTGTCAATGAAAGTTTGCAGCCTGTTGGAAATGCTTTTGTTGACGCGTCAAGTTTCGGACTCATACAGGAGCACCAACTGACTCAAAATTGGTATAGGAAATCCGAAATTTCTTATTTATGCCGAGTGTTGAAGATTTTAAAATTGATTTCAGATTAGTGAATGTATGCCTTGCCTATCCCATCGTGTTTTTGACACCTTGATCCATGCAGGGTGCTTGTAGTTGGAACGAGGCTGCCTAAATAGGTTAAATAAGTTACTCCCTGCAGATTTACCCATTGATAGTGATGGTTGCTTGCTGCTGTTTTTGGTTGGTTGGTTGTCTTCACCAACTCCATCTTCACTATGTTCACTTGAAGTCCTGTCTTTACTACTTATTCTACCAACTTATTGGTTTTCGACTGTAAGTCACTAAGTTTATATGACATCAGACGTAAATCATCCGTGAAGGCCAAGTCTTTTTCAGAAGACTTAAGCTGCTGATATTTATCACTTAATGTCATCACGGAAGCCACCATACAAATCCCGTACACTAAGCAGCTCTTTATATTCATCAAAGAATTTATGTTTAGTGACTGGTCATTGATTTTTGGTTCATCTTCTACATGTTCATAGCAGAATCTACCAGACGAAAATGTTTCCGTTTAGTAACTTTATATGCAGTTAATTTTACAGAAGAATAAGAGACACTTATCGTATAACAATAGTGCAAAACAACTGAATGCATTATCAACTACATGAAGTATGACGAAAGAGAGCAATAACTTTCCTATCAGTGGGATCCTACAACATAATATGATGTACATCTCTTCACTATTACTTTTGGGTTCACTGAACATACAGCTCGCTTGTTCCACATCACATTTAAATCATTTTCTATTTTCTTACTGACAATGTTGTATTTCTTAATTTATTTTTTTTTGTTCAGGCAGCCTACATGGTCATTCTTCGAGAGCATTTACAGTGTATAATTTAGAGAGAGAAAAATCTCAAATGGAACCATATTCATGGACTTCAACTATTCGGATTGGTCCAGATAGGAGACAAAATTATTTAACACAAGAATTACAAGTTGACGGAATAGAACACAAAGCTAATTTACAAGCTGGACAGATTGAATTTCGCGCTGAAGGTATAATCAAAAAACCGTTAGGTCCAGAGGTTTGTCCATCTGGATTTGAAATACAACAGGCGAGAGTAACTGGTCCAGGGATGAGATTACAAAGTAGAAGAGACTACTGTAAAGGTAAATTTATAATTGCTGTTTATGTGGTTGTGTTCTCTGGCTGGATAGTTAATTTGTGAAGCTTTCATTGCCCTACTAGTCAACATCTTCAGTGCATACTTCAATTTGAAGTGAGTTTTTAGATTTCTCTACGAGTTTATTAGTCATCTCTCCTGGTGACCTAGAACGTGATTGGTTGCTTTTGTGTGTTTTCATATTCTCTACGCTACTTGTATTAGAACTGATTGTTTCCTTGAATTGAACTTTGACCCTTTGTGTGTGAGGTTTCCTTCTTGTCGGTTGATAAATTTTGTCTATCTCGATGTGTCTATTGATTGATGATTCATTGGAATACCAAGTTCCTAAAAATTCTCTAGCATTCTTGTTGTTTCTTCTGTTTAATATTTGAACGTTGTCCCAGTAGAATTGATGTCCGCGGTTGTCTGTATGCAGTGAGGCGATATGAAGGAGTGTATGTCATGTCTTTTGACGGCTAGCTTGTGTTCATGGATTCGAAGACGAAGGAGACGTCCATTTTGGCCAATGTAGTGTTTTTCGTAGTTGTCACAATTTATTTTGTAGATGATGCTGGTTTTATCTTCTTTCGCTGTTGAGTCTTTTGGTTGACATAGAGCTGAGTGAAGTGATTTCGTTGGTTTGTGTGAGACGTCAATTCCTAAAGGTTTGCATAGTCTCGTAGTGATTTCTGAGATATCCTTTATATATGGTAAGGCGATTTTCTTTGTGCTTTCCTTGGGGGGCTTTGATTTGATAGGTTGGCTTGGGGATATTTGTCTTTTGATGAAATTCAGTGGATATCCATTCTTTTAGAAGACATCTATGAGATATCTTTCTTTATATTTCCTTGGAGTGGGAGTGTTGCAATGAGTCCTGGCCCTCTTGAATAGTGTTCGTATGCAATTCCTTTTGTGTGTTATTGGATTGTTGCTGTTGCAGTTCACTATTTGGTCCGTGTGAGTTGATTTTCTATAAACTTGAGTTTCTAATTCCCCTGTGGTTGTTCGCCTGACTAAGACGTCCAAAAATGGGATTTTTTTTGCGGATTCCTCCTCCCTTGTGAATTTGATGTCGCTGAAGACAACAAAAAGATTTACATGCAGTGTAATATTGTGAAGTATATCAAGTGACGTAGTTTTTTGTATGTGTAAAGAGAACCAATTCTCTACGGCTTTTCTTCACTTCCCTCAAGAATTGCCCTGGGTTCAGTCTAGAGCTAATTAAATATGCATGCTAGTTCATGTAGTAACCATCTGATATAACTGCATGATTTAAACAATAAGAAATGCAAAAGTGCTTAAGCTTTCTGGTAGCCTAGTTGTTTAACCAGGCCGCCGACAATCTGTTGGTGGTTGCTTTAAACAACTTGTGATAACTTGCATCAGTCAGTATCACTGTAATTAAAAATAGTTTTGTATCAAAGTGGATATCATTGAAAAACGCGACTCTTCGCTGAACTCTTCTCTATTTTTGTAAGTTGGATGAGCAGTCCACTTGAGATAGCTGTTGTAAGCTGGGTAGTTTACATCAGCTGGTATCCCATTGGGTTGGTTGTTCAGAAGAGCACTTGTTTAAATCATGACACGAATGAAGATTTTGCTTCCTCTTCAGCCATCTTTCCATTTATAATAAACCTGTCTGATAAACTAGTCCGACCCACGTTTATTTTTTTTTTTACTTTGATTTATAAATACAGCACAATCCCATTGTCATTAAATTTTATCTAATTAACCTCGAAATTGTCCTTTGACATCTACTCATTTGTCTTTATATTCTTCTAATTCAATCTAATTAAGTGTTGAAAACAAGTAAACCATACAAAACTGGCTGGTTTTTTATATAAACGCTTTATTCTACATATGTGTTGGTGTTAAAATCACTGGTGTTTATTTTTCTCTTACTTTCACAGACATCGATGAATGTGCTTTCCCAAATCTGAATAAATGTGATCATATGTGTAAAAATACAGTACCACAATACACATGTACATGTCAGCCTGGTTATCGTTTATCTGTTGATGGACATTCTTGCATTGACATTGATGAATGTACTACTGTAATCGGAAATAATGGAACATTATGTCCATACGGCCAAAGATGTATAAATACGCCGGGCAGTTATGAATGTAAACAACTTTGTGCACCTGGTTTAAGAGAAAATCTCCTTGAAGATCGTTGTGACGGTATTACAATAATTTTAATTAAAAATAATATTGTTTTTGTATTTTTCTTTCTTCCTCTCTCTCTCTCTCTCTTGACATGTTGGCAGGTAGCGGCACAGAGAATTGGACGGTGCCATCAGATGTTATGTAGTTGGTAGTGACTAGCAGTGGAACAACTGATAAATGTTGCGCCTTATTTTATCATTTCTATACAAAAGTAACCTTGCTAGTGAATAACGACGTCCAGTTATAGGTCTCAGTATTTCTAGACTGAAATGAGAAGTTAAGGACTCCGGAATCCTATTCTGTAAAGCCGCAATTACATTGATGAACGATGCGACAGGTGTACTCCAAATATTGTCAGTGTATAATTTGTGAGAGATGAAATATTTGGTTTCAGTGGTACTATATTATTGCAGTCTTTTATATCATTTAGTTCGTTAGTTACATCTAGTAGTCGTAATGTTAATAGTAGTAATGTTATTAATATTACATAATACTACTGCTCTTTGTGGTATATCTCATAAACACACTACCACACTGTTTAAGTTCTACTCAAATATTAAAGTTTTATACATTGGTTTATATTCACTAAATTGTTTTTTTTATTTATTAATTTTTCTAACGGAAAGATATTGATGAATGCCAAGTGGAGCCAGGTATATGTGGACTTCATACATGTGTGAATACTTTTGGTGGTTATCATTGTGTCTGTTTACCTGGTTATCGTAGATTTGGTGAAATCTGTCAAGGTGCGTGAACGTTCTCTTACTAAATTTTCACTATTTACCTTTCATCCTATTCGATTGTTAGGATATGCGAACAATAAAGAGTTTTAAGGACTTTATAACTTTCAAAGCAGATAACGTCAAGATCTACTAGTGCTAGTTATTAACTTTGGAGTGGAGTTCCAGCGAGAAGTCGCTACTAGTTGGGCGCACCAAATTGAACAAATACTAGTGGCACTATACGCGGAATTATAACAGGTTATATTTCACGGGTCACTGGATTTTGACATAGCTGTTGAATGGCAACATGTTGTTTGCCTAATCTGTAGGTTCTTGATTCTACACTTGGTTGTGTGAAGCTTGTGTACCTGTAGGATTCCAAGCTACGACAGGATACGTATCCAATACTGCCTGTTTTCCAGAGACTATCTAACTGATGTAGATTCGTGACGATATCTGCTTTGAATTTGAGATATTAAAACTGACGTCCAGTAATTAACTACTGCGTTCAGCTTCACTTAACAGATTTCTTTATCAACTCATCTAATAGGCTGCCTAGCTTTTACAGTGGTCTGTATTCTCACTAAAGCATTGTCTACTGATTGCAACTATTCTGACTTTGCTAGCATGTGATGCAAGGCACACAAAGTTTCAATCTACACAAACCATATACATGATCACCAGATAGAACATAAAACAAGGTTTCAAATCAAAAGTGACTTTAAAAAATAACATAGCTTTGGAGTATCCACTGTAAATTCAGATGTGTGTTTCTGGTAAAAAAACAAAACAGGTCAGGTTAGACGGATATTGTATACGGAAATTTAACAGTTAAGAGAAGTAACTCAAATAATCATCATCAGTTGTGTGCATTACCTGACAAAAGCCACGTTTTGCATCTAACAGTAAACTCTAAGGTTTGTATTTTTCCTCATGAATGCGTACTTCCGCAATCCTAAGTTACCTTTCAAAAAGATTATAATTCATACTGTCAGAAATTTATTGTAATATGATCTTACATTTAGCCTTAAGTTTGTGCAATGTATTTGAATTTAGATATCGATGAATGCTTGTCTGGGACTTATCAATGTCGTGAAAATGAAAGATGTGTCAATATACCAGGCAGTTTTCGCTGTCAGCCTGCATGCCCTCCAGGATATCGTGCAATTGGTAGTCCTGAATCAAATATCGTTGAATGTGTGGACATAGATGAATGTGCAATTGGAACATTCCAATGCCCCAATGGAGCGAGATGTATTAACGAACCAGGAACGTATAGTTGTCGGTGTCCAAATGGTCAAGAAGCTGGAAATCAGGGATGCGATAGTGAGTTGAATTGTTTTATAAATGACTAGTAGTATGATGAGGAGAAGGAAACGATTGTTTAAAATACCAGAACGTTCGGAGTTCTACTGATATATATATATATATATATATATATATATATATATATATATCTACATTGGTTCGATTCAACCAAAACTGATCGAAACATTTCCTAATATTTAACACTATTAGCATATGAAAGTGAAAAAATTAGGGCCACTTGCCCTGTACTTAATACCGTTCTTGAATGAATGTAAATTTAAGATTTGAATATTACAAAAGTGAGGTTTTTCGAATAAATTTTTCAGCAGAATTTTATTCTAATTCTTCGTAATACTTGACTAACTGATTACGAAAACAACTTCGACCTAAGGTGACAGTGAAAAGGAGAGAGTGTCAGAGAGCTCACGGAGATCAATGATTTTGGTTTAAAAAAGTCTAATAATAGTATAGAACTTGTGGACAGAATGACACATGCTCATCAGTTTAACTGAACGCGTACTAAGCGGCAAAAAATGGGAGTTATCAGGTAATTCGAAATCATTTGAAATCAATTGTGCTTTTCTTCTGGACTAATGACATCGTTCTCTTTCAGTATCGTAGGTATGTGCTGCTGAAAAGTATTAAATAAGGATTATAAACGTCATCTAGTGATTTTTTTCTAATTTCAGGGTTTTTGTAACTGATATTAACTTTTAGTCATGTTCACAACTCTGTGATTATAAAATTAAGCTCACTTTCTAGACGATGAGGTTAGCAGAACATTACAGACACACATGGTAAAATAACTACCTGATGTCTACTGCTTTTCTGATTGCACGACTGAAGTATATAGTATATTATGCATGCTGATGGCTGACTACATTGTCATACATGTTACTGGCTTGATGTAGATTTTGTAGGGGAAAGCATTCTTTAATCTGAAAGAAACCTGCAATTCAAAAAATGTATTATCTAACTAAAATATGTACACGTTTCTGATTTTAGTCCGACGTGATGAATTCTGCAATGAAGGATTTCAATGGAATCGAGAAAGAGGTTGTATAGGTAGGTTTTAATTTTGAGTAATTTTTAAGTTATGTTATGTAAAAGTGTTTTTGCAGAAACGGTTCACATAATCAGAACTTTACAAGCTATAAATGAGATGAATGTGAAAATAAATCATTCTTTAGAGTCATATATACATACTTTGTTGACTTGAGAGACTTTAAGGCAATCTAAAATTATATTTGTAAGCTCAAAGGGCTTCATTGTTGAGTAGAATTCTTATATTCCTAATTCTGGTCCATGGATAACTTTGATTGGTTTCTAACATCAACATTTGTTTTCGAACTTCTTATACTTGTGTTTTATAACATCATGGCCACATTTTGAGTTACTGAAATTTCAGCGACTGATAACGTGGTGTGTATTGAATCAAGCAACTTCTCACCTACTAAGAGTTGCGAAACTTTCATTGTCTTACAAGACAACGTCCTCAGCGCGTACTTCAATTTGAAGTAAATTTTAATTTTTCCTTCACGTTCCCAGTGGAACATAGGGCTTCAAGCTAGTAGCTTGAAGTTTCTGCAGCAATGTTTATTGTACAGGATGGGGTTGCTAGCCTCATACCCAACCTTTCCTCTTTACCATCATTGTTTCTGGCTTAGCGAGGTAAAGGAGTGCGTCGGCCGGGAGTCGAACCCCGTACCATGTGCATGGTCGCCGAGCGTCCTAACCGCTATGCCACCGACGCACACTTCAATTTGAAGTAAACAAGCTGATTTGCTTGATTTCAACTAACCTGAATTATATGAGGATTATAATCAGCACGAATGTTTCGTAGATAGACTTCGAATCATATAAAGCGGGACATTCGGTTAATTTATTTTAGATATTATGTAAGTCAACTCTCACTAAGGTTTACAGAAATTTGGTGGTTTAAATCCAATGCTGTTTTACTGTGTGATTAATCTAATAAACAAATAATTATGGAATCGGATACAACTTGCATAAGGATATCAAAACTGGAGTCTGGATAGCAAGATCTACAGATTGGTTACAGGATTTCATCATGAGCTGACATTGCTTAGATAACTATTGGAAAACCTGCCAGGGAGTACTGGACAGCTGTTTCGTCCCAGTTTGGGACTGTTGATCAGTACGCCCCCACCGGAGCTCGAACCTAGGACCCTCTGGTCAGAACGAGAGCTCATAGACCATTAGGCCACTGGGATCCGATCCAACGATCCAGGAATTCTAAGTTCTGCAAATTTTAACCAATGTCAGCTCATGATGAAATCCTGTAACCAATCAATCAAATTCCTACAAACCAATGCTTCAAGATCTGCAGATGTTAATCAGCAGAGGGAATAAGATCTGAAGACTAACGTCAAGTCAGTGAGTGACATTATGTAGTTTATTGACTTGACGTATGTGTCACCAACAGTCTACTGCATACTTTCATCGACAGACGCCTTCACTCGATGCTGCAGATCGAATGGTCACTCTGAAAGGATGAGTAGCAAGGAACTCTGCCAGATAGTTAAATAGCTAACAACCTATTGTCTAAAAATGTGCAGAATGAAACGAGGATGTACTGGAGAAACACTGAGAAGACAGACATTCAAATGAAATCAACCGGAAGTAGAACTTAAGTGGAAAGCAATGAGTTTAGCGTTAATGTGTAACATGGAGGAAAGACGTCATGTGAAGAATGAATGAAAGATTGTGGACATTCATAGATTCATTTGTGAATACAGAAATGATATCAAAGTATATAAAATTCTGACTCGATTCTTTCTAAAGAAATAGACAGTAATGTGATTCACAAGACGTTCACTCAAAGAGTTTAGTAGATCCTACAGTGACTTTATGAATCTTAAAAGTACGTAACTTCTGAGTGGAATCGATAATTAGATATAATGTAGAATACAAACCATTTTTAAGATTTGGATCAGGCCTTGTTGTCAACAGATGTAGCGTCAACACTTTTTAGATGATCAGAGAGAACATCCAGCTTGGAGTTTACCTTCAATCTTCTCTAAATTTTATTAGAGCATAAAATTTAAATTCCGTGGGCTGTATCACGGATTATCCTTCGTTTACACAAGTTTTAGAAAAACTATTCGCTTAATTTATTTAATCATAAGGGAAGGAAATCACTTAAGTTTTCAGGAAAGCAGAACTTCTTTAACTTTCTTCAAGGGTGTAGATGCCACTTCAGAAATACATATATCACAAAAGCTTTCGAGAGACAAGTTTTACTGTATAAATAAATTTAAAAGATGAATTTGGTAAGGTTCAGTAGTCGGTAATGTTTTATTGATTGGATCTAGTCTTCTTGTACCTTTGATTCTGACAGAAAGAGGGCTTTGTATCCAGAACATATTTTAAACTGTTTCTTGAAGAGTAGCAGATTAGACTTACGGTGCCGTAACAAAAAACAGATATTTCCTACTTACATTCAATAAACTCACACATCATACTTGTATTTTAGTGGTTTAATCCAGTTTAATTTTTTCTCCAAATTCTAAACAGATATTGATGAGTGCAATCCACCATTCGGTTCAAGTCCATGTCAGTATAAGTGTGTAAATACCTACGGTGCATACCGTTGTGAATGTCCTGTAGGATATGAAGTAGATCGTAGAACAAATTTATGTAGAGGTAAGTTCACCGCTGATTAATAAGATTATGAAATATTATTCTGATTAAACTCCATTGTAGTTGGTTTATATGACGTCACCAAACAAATTTCCAATGTACGACAGATAAACATCAGTCCATAATGGTCCTAATGGACTTCCTATAGCTACTCCATCTACTTGTTGAAAAGTGCTTACCTTCAAATGAGTAATGGATACTTTCACTACATAATAGTGATAGCAATAATAAATCTGTTAGAGGAATGTTAGAGGAATAGAGAATGAAAGACAACTAGAAGATATGTAGTCACAAAGAATATTAACGGTACATTAAAAAACAAGGTATTAACATCGAAAGAGTACATTTTCCTATCTTTGTATTTATGTCTGTCTAAAAGGCAGTCAGCAAGCTCAAAAATATTTTTCAGGCAGAACTTACATAATCTACTGCGTACTGTGATTAAAATCTCTGCTAACTATTTTGCCATTCTATGTGTGAGAGAATGACACACTGATACGAATGGGCCTGACGGACTGTCAACTTTGTGAATTTTGGGCAATCTGGAATGGTTTGGAAGGTCAGATCTTACGAGTCTTAAAGAGTTGAACTCTTCTTCGTCAATAACGTCCATGCCACGAAGTTGTACTAGATGAGATGTTATTTTTCCTTCCAATTTTCTGAAATCACCAAATGTGATATCCGCTATAATTTTACTTTTGTCATCAAGAATGGGTAATAATTTTTTTCTAATAATCACATTTATCGATTACAACCACACGCAACTTCGCATTAGAATTGTCAGTTGTGATACTTTGTAAGACGAATAAGGTTTTAAGAGTTCGGTTGTAATTTAGACGATTGAAGAGATTTGTAAACTGCCTTCGGGAATGTGTGACCAGAAAGACAGGGTTTATATAATTCCACGTTCACTTCTCCAGGTGCTACTTTACAATTAACGTTAAGGAGATCATTTAACTGTTTTACAGTGCGTGGAGGAAGTCTTCCTTTCAAGAATTTAAAACAGTTAGTTCGTCTAATAAATTCGCTTTTGACTTGGGAGTGGGAGAACATATTCACAAATGGTTAGAAAAATAAATCAATCGTGGAACCTCGGTAAACGCGGGTGACAGACTACCGACTTCGTCTACAGCTAAACACTCAATAGATATGGATCAGACGATCTGTTTCAGAACAGCTTTTGAGATCATTTATAGACACATTCTACTGTGTTTCTTCATATAGAATGTGAAAACTTAAAGATCGTACCATTACTTTTCCCATCATAAATTATAGTTTCAACATTTTCTGCTTGTGATCCATCCTAGTTTCTTGTACCTTCCATTTTAAATCTTTATTTTAGATATAAATGAATGCAATTTAGGTTATCCGTGTAGATCTGATGAAGTCTGTTTAAATCTTCCTGGAAATTATACATGTGTTGAACAGAAATGTCCAGAAAATTATGTTTTCGATAAGAAATCTAGGTAAGTTTCGACTTAAGCGTTTTACTTGCATCCTTAAAAACATTCATTTATTGATACGAATTCACAAAAAAATACTTTCTGGAATGCAAGACTTAAAGTGACCAGAGAGAAGATGGAAATCACAGATGTCCGTATTCTGACGTAGTATCAGAGTTATAGTGTATTTTCTTCCAAGTCTAGTGGTCTTGGACTGGATTTTCTGAAGTCTCACACGCGTATGTAACTAAAGTTTCTCAGACTCAGAAAAACCAGCTCTCTGGATTTCAAATTACTAAATCTTTGAACTGTAGCTGGCTTATATTTTGTGAAACAACTGATATGAAGCTACCATGAGAGTTCCTATGCTTGTTATCACTAATATAAATACCGAATTTATCAGGAATCATGCTATTCTAGATATTGTGTACTTTATTATTTTGTACCGAAATTGAAAGTTTTATAACTTGAATTAAAAAAAAGAAGCTGTTTCATTCTCAAAAGCTGTATAATCTCAGCATTTTTATACACTTCCATTTTACAAATCCGGTTGTAAAACTTTTCTCTTCGAGTTCTTCCTACTGCATTATAGAGTGACGCAGAATATAGTATTTGTGTGACAGATATGTTAAGCGAAATGCAATTAGAAAATATTCTGAAATGAGAGACGATGATGGCAATTAGTCATACTAGATTTACGCATATGGGGAATGAAAACTGACAAGTTTGTTCAAGTTTGTAAAACATATCTGATATCTGACTAGTAGAAACTACTACGCATTAAAGATGATATAGGGAGACGGCAGTAAACAGTTCATTATGAAATAATCCGTATGTGAAATGAACTAGACGCCTTGTTGTCAACAGATGTAGCGTCAACACTTTTTAGATGATCAGAGAGAACAATGACAAAAGAGATAATATCACTAATAAAAGTTCAGAGCTTGGGCATTGTAGTGGAATACAACTTCATATAGATAAACGTATCTGATAGAACACAGCGATAAAGTATTAACAACTGTATGATATTTCGAGCAGAATGTATACTCATTATCATATTACTTTAGGTAGCTTGTTCCTCAGACTCTATAGTTATTCGTGAATATTAGAAAGCAGATAGCCAATAATGGTAAATTGAAATTATATCAGAAACAGTATGATTTTTCATTTGCCTTTATTGGCTATATGTACTCTATTATTCATGGATTTAGAACTGTACAGTCTGAGGAAGAAGTTGTTGAAAACAACTGTTCGCTCAAAACCATCTTGTTCTCATTACACCCGGGAGCTTTAATTTACTCATATCAATTTATTCACACAGCTACATAATTTACTTTACACATATCTTTATCTCTCTCTCTTGTTGTTTGTTGTAGTTTTCCATATCTCCGGTATAGGTGTTGTATCATTTCGATTGCACGTGAATGGTGTAGATCCTACGAACAAAGATTCAGTGACTAACCTCTCTCTCTCTCCACCTAACTATACTACGTTTTCATACTTTCATCCCGTGTGAATACATGCAAGTGAAGGTATTTAGCTTAACAGGGTCAGTCGCTCCTAGGTCTAGTTAAATACATGTGTTTCAATAATCAAACTGAGCCCCGATCCACTAGTTTGACCCGTGTAATCAACCTCACTGTTATGACATAGTATTTGGTAAATATCCCTCAGTTTTTTACACATAAAAACCCAGTAGTACATGGAATCCAGTCCACTTTTGAGTTGGAAAATAAACACGGTAAGTTAGCCATATTAGGCTGTAAAATAAAAAGAAAAGAAAATGGTGGGTTGAATAGGAAAGTGACACACTGTAATAAATACTTAGACTTTAGTTCATTACATCCAGAATCGGTGAAGATAGGTTTAGTTAAATGTCTGTATAATCGGGTCAGGAACCTAACTAGCAGGTCAGAAGATTCAAATAATGAAATCAAACAAGTAAGGGTAGGTTATAGGATTTCATCAGGAGCTAACATTGGTTAGAGAACCATTGGAAAACCTGACAAGGAGTACTGGACGGCTGTTTCGTCCTAATTTGTGACTGTTCATCAGTACGCCCCCACCGGGGTTCGAAACCAGGACGTTCTGGTTACAAGGAGAACTAGTAGACCATTAAGCCACTGGGACCCGATCCGATGGCCAATGCCAATTCACTGAATCTCTGTTCACCGACTCAACACCAATCACATGCAGTCAAAATGACATAACGCATATACCGGAAATATGGAAAATTACAACAAACAACAGGATAGAGAGAGAGTTAAAAATGTTTGTAAAGTAAATTATGTAACTGTGTGAATAAACTGATATGATTATGAGGAATAAGTTCGAGTTTTTGTGTAATCCAGTCATTAATACTGTTTCACTGTATGTTTTATCAAATAAACTTACGGAATATGAAATATTACTAATGGTCAGTAGGAATACTTAAAATGGAAAGAATGCTGGAATGATGGACATTTATCATCCATCAAACATTGTGACGAAAAGGAAAGGAAATCAACAATAAGAATTGTCTAGAACTTTTAGTCTAAGTTTGATAATGATAGGAACACTGCCTGAATGTGTTCTTTTTGAATACAGAGTTCTGATTTTGTCAGTCATATCGCGACAGCTTTAAATGTTTGGAGAAGCTTTAGGTGAACCGTGGGTGAAAATAACTTTGCAGTAAAGTATATAACCCCGAAGTCTATCTTAGAGACAATGTATCTATCAGATGTGGTAAAATAAAACATTCAACGCATTTGACTTCCCCTTTATTGAAATAGGATGGTAAATATTCTCAAATCTGCACACCAACCTCCTTAATCGTACTGTTTATGCAACTTGAACCACAGGGACATTTAAAATGATTCATGCATGAAGAGCATCTAAGCTTTGGTAAGACGTCTCTCAGTTTCGGGATAAACATTGGGTGGTTACTAAACGACAGGATCAAATGTACAGAGTAGGAGGTTTCCTTTATTACCTTGGTTTGGACTCTGGGATAGAATCGCCTTAGGAGTATCTTTTTTGAATTGTAGACGCAAAAGTAATGGCTCTTCTCCAATGTCGCCAGTACATATTTACAACTTGTAACCTATGCTGACTTCTATAAACTTTTGTGGATATCTCGAATTAAGTGTAGTTCTCTCTGTAAACAGTCTTAGGAGTCAACTAACCTTGTTCTAAATATTAAGCACCTGATTGAACTAGGCTGGTATTTCAGTGTTACAAAGCCGAGGAATTGTGTGCATTGGGCTTTAGTCTCTAGTTTTAGTTATAGTAGAAATGTGGAGTTCCTATAGCTACTCCATAAACCTACCTGTACACTTCATTATTATATAGGGACTCGACATTCTTTGTATATTCAGTCAGTAGCTCCTACGAGTTAACAGTACGAATATAAGTGGATGACTTTCCATCACCTGTTTGCAGATTTAATCGATGGTTTCCACTAGAGGAAGATTAGTGAATTAGGATGTAACATTAAGGGATGCCATATGTTAGTCAGCTGTCTTTAAGCTTGTTTTTTTTCAAGAAACTAAAAGGTATCCTTGGCACTGTGCTTTACTAGATAACCATGAAGAGGTTGAAATAACTGCACCACCTACTTTTACTCTCATGGTGAGGTGATAAAGACACATTTAATATAGGATGGGATGGCACTACTGACTGATCTGTGTACTTTGGTAGACACTGCATGCTTGAAATGATGCTACATGTAGACTTTCGGTTTTCATAAAATTTTGGTGAGACATACCCTTCTTCTCTTGGTTTCTTCTGAGAATCACAGATGTATTTTTATACTTTCACATTTCGGTCTCTGATTAGTTTTGGTTTCTGAAATTCAGTCCTTCAGCATGAAAATTCTGTTTACATAGTCATGTCTACCCACAATTACGATTCTAGGTCACTTATTCTTCTGGGATGAATTCACTGAAAAGAGGATCTTTGATGAACTTCTTGTATTCTCTCTAATGTCCTGATGTTTATTTTTCGTAATAATTTATTCACAAAATTTAGATTACAGGTCACTATCAAGATAATTAGATGATATGGCATATAATTTATTGTTTATTGAAGAGTTAAGTTGTGTCGATCTCTCACACAATCAAGTGAAGCAATCCGAATGTACCACGGACGAGCCTAGTCGCCATCATTTCAGTGATTCGAAAAGTTCACAATAGTAATGACGTTTATTGTAAAATAGCTTAATATGTCATGATGTGTAAGCCTTTGGCATCTATCTAATCAGTGAGCTACATACAACTTTTAGATATACACCTTATTCAGCGTCGAGACTTCTATGGAATTATATAAAATTATCTTTTTAAAATATATAGATTGTCACTTATAACTAAACTTATACAAAACCGACTATGGTGTAACCTATGTTATATGTCTAGTCTCTTACTTTTGGCTGAATTCTATCAATCAGCTGTCCACCAACCTAAGTGACATACCAACTCAGTGCACTTTCAGTTCCAATCAATGAAGGCTTCCTGTGGATTACTTTTGACCACCTTATACTGAAAAGATATACATTAAATAGAAAATTACGAAATAGTGTCTTTACTAAGATATTAGGGATCACATCTCCAACGGCTTCCATTCCGTAAAGGAACAAATGATCACAGATAAAATCAGCTGTTTTTTTCGATCTTATCTGTATAAAGTGATGGGATAATTAGATTGGATTTGCGTCATTAGTTTTGACTAAATTAACCATCATAGATTCTTGGCATATTAGTCTGTAAATCACACTTATTATATGAAAGTTCATAGTACTACCCAGTTCTACAAACTGTAGTAAGCCGAATAGGGTTAGGATGCGTGACCTATTGCCTTAAATTTGAGTGCTTAAGCCACACAGTCACATCTTCAGTCATTGGTTGACTATACACTCTAAAAAGTCCCTAAGACGAATAATAAATCTATTATCAGTTAATCAAAATCAAAATCTTAAGTGGCATGCTATAATCAACCTTCAAAATAACTTGGAGATTTTTTCAACTTTTCTCCCTTTTCATTGGATAGTTTCGTTCATTTTTAATTCTTTTCCTTGATTTTTTCAATTTAGATCTTGTAGAATACGATGTGCTGACTCTAAATTAACGTGTCCTCATGGTGCTATGTTTGCTGATACAGTGGAATATTTGATTGTTAGTCTTCCGCCTCCTGAATCATTTCGTGTAACTGGATCAAGAATCATGCTTCGTGTTGTTGATTGGTATCAAGTAAGTGAAAATTTTATATATGACAAGTAACTGTTTAACTTTATGTGTGGACTGATCAGTTGTTCAATGAGTATTGGCGTAAACGAGGTGAAACGGTTTTGCTCTGAAGGACTCAGTGATATGGTCTATGAATTGAACCATGGCTGACTCATGTTCGAGTTTCGGAATATGAGTCTGTCTTTGAATCCATGTAGAACTAATTTCTTCTGTAGATAATCACTGAATATCTGTTGGACAATAATCTGAATTTATTGGATACGTTTTTTAAGAGCTTAAGCAATATGCCTCCATTTTGTCCTATCCTCTGAGGTCCTCCTCATCTGGCCCCACAATCGCCTGTAATCTCCTCCCTATACAATCTCCTCCATGTCACCTTCGGAAACTGACTAAACTCGTAGTTTTCCACTCGAGCTAAGACCAGGTGCGCGATTTCACGCTATAGTCTCCTCAGAGTGACTCTGATATATCTCCATTTCCTCTTGCATGTTTATTGAGCAATAGGTTCTTGATTAGTTCATTACCAGAATTTCTTGTTGCTAACTCTTTCTGGCCAATTGATCTACCATATGGAGCTAGCGAAGACAGCTGTTGATAAAAGTTTGCAATAGCCTTTTCGTGACACTCTGGTCAAGTTTTGGACCGTATAGAAGTGACCGACTTAACATTGGTGTTGAAAATCCAAATTTTGTTCTTTTTCCTGCAGAGTGCATATACAATTTCCTAACTGATTTCATATTGATCAATTTCTGCCTTAACTTTTCAACCCTGGTTTTGACATCACGTTCCATCCAGCGTGCCTGTAGTTAAAAAGATAGAAGCTGCCTAGACAAATGGAGGAAGTGACCCCCTTCAAACTTCTTTTGTTGACAATGATTTGTGCTTGTTCTTATGTTGCCAATAATAATCATTGACAGTATTTTATGTAACACAAGTTCATTTAGTGTGGAACTATGCTGTCACGCAGTGCTGACTTTTATTACTACTGTAATGTCGACTGAAAATGATCTGTGAGGACTCTTGAATTCGATTTTCATACTCCCTGAATGTAAGGTCCATCCTCAAATGTGATAACACTTGAGTGTTCTCTCAAAGGGGTGGACCTACTTTAATGATTACCGAGACTATAGGCACTACTTCTAAGAGGTTAAAGTTAGTACCTCTTTATAAAACTGAATTGTGCCACAATCAGTTATCCTGCTGTTTCAGCTCGATTGATACCACAAAGCGAACTAGTAAAATATAGCTACTCACTTTAAAGTTGAGGTGTTTAGTAAGAAAGTATACACCCAAATTTGATGTGGACCTATTCAATGGAACTCATAACCAATGGTAAGATAAACAGATTAAGGGAGCCTACTGAGAGGTTGTAATGTGCATACATCACTCAGTAATATAGTGATTACTTACCAAATTCTAGATTATTCAACCAGATTTTGCGGACGAATAAAAGTGTTATAGAAACTTCCTGAGTATAATTGATCAAAAAGTAATGAATCTTTATTAGTTTGGTCATCATCCGTTTTTCGTTTAAAACTGTGTTGGTTATGTTTCACCATTACTTAGTCAATTGTACACCATATGCACAGTTGTTATTGATAATAATGTGAGATGTGTTTAACATTAAATTAAAAAACATTTGGTTCCATCTCTCCTTGATTCCATTGAATAAATTGCGCCTTAAGCATATGAACTATCGCATATACCCCATTTAGTTGCAGTTTATTTCATCGACTTATTAGTTCATTAAATAAGTTATAACACATGAGAGTGGTATTCGATGCCTTAAAAACTCTGTCAGGTAAGCAACAAATATAGGAAATTCAGATTCTGTCTTTGTAGATATTCGAGTGATTTCAGTGCAGATTTCGTCACGAACTGACATAACCAGGAGAACAATTGTAAGGTAAACAATACTGAACATATATTTTGTCCTAGTTTGGAAAAAGTCTTCAATAGGCTGTAATTCACCATTTAACCAGGGGGCAAGTCAACAATTATCAACTTGAAAGGCAAGCAAGGTGCCTATTCACAGGAACTAAGGTAAATAGGTATATGCGAAATACAAATGATTAATTGAACTAGTATAAACAATCGATCTAAATTTCTTAGGTTATACTTTGAGTTAGGATTAAAGAAAAATTACGGGTATTCGAATTACAGAAGTTTTTGTAGAACAGCTAGATTTCCAATTAACATCTACTCACGCCAACACACTGAATGTTCAAGGTAATTTTTGATCTTTGACCGTAGACTTCACTCTTGAAGATAATTGCAGAAGAGAAATCTCACGGCAGACAGTTTGCTTTAGAGTTACTGAGAAATAAAAATGAAAGCTTGGTATTCTACAGAAACATCCTTATAGCTAGTAGGTGTATGAATTAAAATCTGGTGAAATTTAAAGATTATACAAGCTTCTTCTCTCTCTATCTCTCTCTGAGAATTAACCCTATTCACTATCAACGTGTAAGACTTAAAAGAGCTATTGAAAAGAAATATATGTTTGAATTAAAGTCTAAGTGTGATACTGCAAATGACAAGTGAAAGAGATCTATCGACTGTTCAAGTGTAATTACGACACAGTGGGATGGATTTGTTTGAACATAAGTAGGATATTTAAATATTCTAATTGTATTCTTGTGAATATAAAGTATGTGTACATATATACACACAGATGATTGTGTAAAGAGGTCAAGATAGATCCAATCTTCTTAACTTGTTTCATCTTGAGTGGACTATGCTCGTGACAGGTTATATAGTAAACAATGGTGTTCAACTGTTAAATTATAAGTAAATTAAAACACTGTCTATCCATTTTATTTTCTAACTACTATCAACGATAAGAAATGGTTTTCTAAGAGTTATTTACCTACTTAATTCGTTGAAATATTCAAATATGGTTTGTGGTGCAATAAGTACTAATTCATGCACAGTATTATCCAAAAAACGACAGATATAGTTATGGGTGAATAAATTTTGCGTTGTGAAAACAGCTGAAAGCTTCCTGGTGATTTCAGTTTATACACAAGTTACATAAAGGATGAGCGAATTAAACACATTGTTGATATTTTTGATAAGGAATGTAGTATGTAAAATGATTTCAGACGCAGAAACGTAGGATGTAGGAAAAATAATTGTTAGTCAGTGGGTACCTGTCTTCATTTTCAACAAAAGACATAGCTACAGGCAAGGCAGTTTTGGTTAGCAGGTGGATAAGCTTGTTTGATGAGTTGTGTACTATTTCCAGTGCATGACGAAGATATCAAAGCGAGAATCGGAAAAGAAAGACAAGCTTTCATTACTATCATGTCTGTGTGGAGATCAACGGCACTCAGCATCAAAAATAAGATCCGTATTTTCAACTCTAATGTAAAGTCAGTGCTACTCACCATACGGATCAGAGACTTGGCCAGAGCGTCATAAAGAGCATCTCAAACAAACTTCAGACCTTCATTAACAGTTGTCTTTGCTCAATACTCAAGGTCAGATGGCCGGTCAGAAAAGATCAGGAACAGGGATCTCTGGTAATGAGCGAACCAGCCCAGCAGGAACCGATTGTGAAACAAATAAACAGGAAGAAATGTAGATGGATTGGCTGGCCATACTCTGAGGAAACCATCAAGTGAGTGACATCACTAGACAAGCCATCGCTCGAGTGGAACCCTAAAGGGATTCGGCGAGTTGGTTGTCAGTGCAAGGGTGACTTGGAGGAGGTCATGTGAAGAGGAGATGAAAGCATGTGGACAAACCTGGAGCGGAGTGAAAAAGTTGGCGGAGAACCGAAGGCAATAGAGACGTGGGGCTGAAGCTCTATGTTCCTCTCGGAGTTAAAGGATATAATAATAATAAATCAGCAATGGCTTAAAGGGACAGGAAGAGAGCATTTGTATAGTAGTGATAGAGGTGAAATTTCGGGATCATCGTCAAGCAAATTACAGAGAAAGCATTTGCCATAAACCAGGATACTATACATATGTATGGTAACTTCATTGGTAAATAAATGATAAAGCGTGTGAATACCTATCATGAATTCACACGAAAACTTATTCTAAAAACAATATTTCGTTTGCCAGCTATTCAAAATCAGTATAGTAATAAAAGAAACTTTTTCAGTAATCTCACGCATTCGAGAAAAAAATGTGATAGTGACAAACTCAAAGTCGGTGTTTGATCCTTTTTTAGGATCTTGGATACGCACAGATGAAGAGTCCTGAACTAAAGTGGGGCAACTACTAAGTAGTAGTCCTTAATCAAGTTATTTTTGACTTTCCATTGGTTGATTTATTTCAGACCAAAATGTTCGATTTCTAATACGGAAGCTTCAATGAATTCTAAAACTTAATATAATTTTTTTTGATTGGTAGTTAGCAGTGGGACCCATCGGCGAGTGTAGTCCGAATTGGAACTGATCGACATGATGTAACTGCACCCCCCCCCACCAAAGTGAGTGATAACGTTCCGTCTGGGATTCGAACTTAGCTGACGAATCCCGAACAGGATGAAACCCACGTCCTGGATTCCACTGCTAGGAAACATCGAAAAAATATTTATTACTAACAAAATCTGAGATGCAATAAACCAAGTAGCCTAAGCTTAACAACTGAAATCCACTTCAATCTACTGCATCATATTCGGTATTATTTAACTATGAACCACTGATTTCGAAAGTTATAGTGTTTTATGGATGTATTATTTCTGAAATTTGAGTTTTTCCTCTGAAATTCTATTGACTTGATTAAAGCGATATCACAGTAAATTTTATATTTTACTTTTTTTACACTTTTTAAAGGTTCAGCAATCAAACTGTTATTATCAATTATTAGATAAATCGCCTAATACTCCAGTGAATCATCGTACTGAAGATGGAGTCGTCTATCTTACGCCCAACTGGAGTCCAAATCATACACGTGAAAAACCACTTTTAAGTGCACATCTTGAAGGTGTGAATAATGGAACAAACAAACACAATACAGACAGAAAATACGATAAATCAGAACAATTGTATTACTTGTTTTTCCGAGTTTCATGCTATGAAGATGATTCTATATTGCCGTCACCATCACCATCGTTGTCGACAGCAGAGGCAGGAGCTGTAATACCATCTTTTTCAGCAGCTGTGCCTTCTGTTAATGCAGCATATGTCAACTCGTTTAATACCAATAACATGGATAATAATGATTATAATACTGAAAATCAGTCATGGTTGATTAACCCCCCATCGGATATTCATTATAATCAAACAAATGGGAAGTACAAACTAGTATTCCAGCATTCGTTTTATGTTTACATTTCAGTGTCGAAATATCCATTTTAGGCATAAAATAAAACACTGAAAATTTTCTTCATTTCTTCTAACTACCCTTTTGTCTCCTCAGCATTTAATCTTGAATACTGTGGTGAATATCCTAGGTTAATTTGTTGAATTACTTCCTTAAATCTCTGACAGTGTGTACTACACTTCATTTATTATTAACTAATAGGGGAATTCACTGGTTGTTATTTAAATGTAGTCGTATGCTGTTCGCTTTCTTTTTTGATGGAGTGAATAATTCTACTTTTATCCTTAACTGATAAAGACAAACCAACAAATGAATGTGCACTGAAAGTCTCTGTGTGTCATTTATCTTTACGCTTTTAAGAAAAAGATGTTTTGGTCAACCTGAAAGTGAGAAAGTTGAATTTCTGTCTGCACTGGAAAGACATTCAGCGAAGTACTGCTACTACTACTACTAATAATAATAATAGTGTTTTAGCTGCAGTATTGTTGATGAAATATTATAAGTCACTTCATTTTCAACACCGGTTTCAATTTCTTTTACTTTAAATATCCTCTATGCTGTTTTAGTTTTCGGCATGTTTGTGTGTGTGTTAATTTGTGTTCAAATGAATGTTTTTCTTTGTACCTTTTGAATATGATAAAAATGTGTTCTTAATGATAAAAAGATATATAGTATCGTAGATGACTTTTATAATTTCTTATAAGCGAGCGCCAATGGGATTATTTCATTATTACTGTATTAGTTCCTTCCTTACATTGATAGTGGAACATAGGGGTTGCGCCGATACATCTCCATCGGATTATGTTTACTGCTATCAATTTCAACTGGCTCCATGACTGCTCATCACCTCCCATTTACCAATCATATGAGCCCCTCCATGTCACTACTGGGTTCACACACAACTCCATCGGGATTCCACTCAATCTACTACATATCTAACGCGAGATGTCACTCAACGGCCTCCTCAACGCGTGACCAAGTCATCTCCATCTCTTTCTGCACATTTATTGGTTCGTTGTTTGAGCCTCATGTTGCTTATTCTTTGTCATCAGCCACCTGAAGTTCAGTATGGAAAGAAGGCAGTTGTTGATGAAAGTCTGCAGTAGTCTGTTGGAGATGACTTTGTCTCTGACCCTTCTAGAAGTACTCAGTGACTTGGCACCAATGCTGAAAACTTTTCCTCAGCATTTCCGATCCAGACTTACTGTAACATCCTCATCTATACTGCCTGTTGTTGGAAGTTATTAGTAAAAGAAGTGACTTTCCTTAAATTTCTCCCGTTGGTAGTTATTGGTGCCTGTTGTTGTTGTCGTTGGTTAAGTGTCTTCATCCCCTTTGTCTTCCCTTTGTTCACTTGAAGTCCTATCTTCGATGACTCATCATGCATCATGTGGGTTATGGACTGTAAAACCCTGAAGTCTACTTAAATCATCCTCGGAGTCCAGATCTGCTAGAATCTTCTTATCAGTTCCACGTATTCCCTGATACTCACTCCTCGATGGTCTCTCGCATAATCTAATTCACCATGATCCGGAATATTATCAGTGATAATAGGCACCCTAGTCTTATTCCTGTCTTTACTTTAAAGGCTTTACTGAGTGTTCCGTTGAATGCCTGCCCCAATATATTAATAACTCAAAACTACATTTCGGTTATTGGAGGATAGTAATAGGATCCACGATGCATTGTTTCATCCTGATTAGGATGTTTTGGATGAATGAGTCAATTAGAAATGAAGCGGGAAGGTTTATTACGCGAAATCATTCTTAGATAAATTTTGGTTAATCAACATTTGTTCTTTCGTAACACATGGTTATGCAATACAAATTTTTCTTGAAATAAAAAACGACGTGGAGAATTCCTAATCTTATAGAAAATCAAAACAAGTGATTCAACAAAGAAACTCTTTCCAACCAAATTATATCCACTGAGGGAACTGAATCATAGGTGTGAATACATAAAATAACAATTGTATGAAATGCACTTGAAGTGTTCGTGACTCTAATCATAGTTCAGTGTGAAGTGGCAAAACAATTAATGTCATATATAGAATAGTTCATAGGATGTATAGAACCTGGAAGGGGTGTGCAATTAGAGGATTATTAGGCAAGCAGAATAAAAATAAAAACCTTATGTAACATTCTGTGAAATTTGATAACATGGAATTTAATTTTCTAAAACAGAATTGATTTAGAATGACAAATGGGACGAGTGAAATAATGGTGGAGGACAATTCAAAGTGAGAATAGTAATAGTAGTAACTGACGTAATTAAGGGAGGGTATACGCATAGAAGAGCCAAAATATGATTAGGTATTATCATACTTTAGCATAGAGGGATTAAAAGGGAAGGTTGAAGAGGTTGAAAGAACGTTTTCTGTACACAGAGATCTGGCTTTTCTGTTCCGATGGCCAAAGCTGCTTCAGTAATACAGATGAGCCGGTCACACGTAATAATAATAAAAATAATTTTTCCTTCACGTTCCCAGTGGAACATAGGGCTTCAAGCTAGTGGCTTGAAGTTTCTGTGGCAGTGTTTATTTTTGCAGGATGGGGTCGCTAGCCTCATGTCCAACCTTTCCTCTTTACCAGCATTATTTCTGGCTTAGCGAGGTAAAGGAGTGCGTCAGCCGGGGATCGAACCCCGGACCATGTGCATGGTTGGCGAGCGTCCTAATCGCTGTGCCACCGACGCAGTTACACGTAATGATTTGGGCAAATTACTTTTCACCTTGTAGATGACTTCAAAGGCAGAAGCTGTGGAGATAGGGTGATCATTATCGACCAGATGTTCAATAGTCGCGCTTCTTATTACTTCACTCTCACTTCTTAAAAACTATCCATAGTGTTCTTGCACTCTCGAATCGAATGACCGATATACCTAGCCCTACACGAGCAGGTGAATTGCTAAACGCACATAGAGTTTGTCTACAGAGAGATGTTGTCCTTCAGGTTTTCGAACAGTAATGACCGGAAAACGTTAGTCTCAACGATGCAGCAGGAAATGTCCCTCTCAGTGACTGCGAGATCCTTCTTTCAATAATACTGGAAGCTAAGTCACTTCTGAATTCCAAGGTCATGTACAGTATTTCTCCAGTTACGGACTATAAGTCATGTATCATAGGTTTTGACTGTATAAAACGTGGGGGAAATCAATTTTCTATTAAGATCTTTCCTAACAGATTTTAATCTTCCTCCACTGTATCAGGACTACATATGCGCCGGATGCGAGTGGCAAGCGATTGGATAAGGTCTCGTTTTTGATCAAGGGACACCCAGCTGTAGAAATTTGTTGGTTGACCATTCTAAGACAGCTTTCTATAAACAGATCTCTTCAGAGTTCCATTGGTCGTCCATGATGAATTTATGGCGATACTAAAGACTATTACAGTCATAATATTAAAGTACATATACGTTTTCACGTTATACTATGTACTATTGTTTTATACGGTCAAAGGTGAACAACGTTGTATTAAGAAGTGCAAGTGAAAACTTGAAAAGATGTATTGTTAACGAAATCGAACTTCCAAAAACACGAAAACTAATGAAAAGTGCATAAGCGCGTTAGAAATACATCTGTAACAAAGAAAAGCAATATTCAATGTTACAATGGCACATATTCCATAAGAAGATGTAAAATTAGTTTCTGTAAACTTATAACATGCGTATTGGAATTAGTTTTATAAGCGCGCAGTTAGGCTTAGTGTACGGGTGCTACAAGTTAACACCGAGGAAATGAATACTGTTTTTAAGAGTTGATCACGGACTGATATCAGTTAGAGAACCATTGAAGACCAGAGAGTACTGGACAAATGCTGTTTCATCCTAGTTTGGGAATCATCGGCAGTACGCACCCACTGGGTTTCGAACCCAGGACCTTCCGGTTACAAGGCAAGCTTGTATACCATTCAGCCACTGGGACCCGATTCAATGGCTCATGAATTCTAACTTCTACTAATTTGTGATTTAGCGTGACCCCAACCATTGTCGTTGGTGGGACATCCATCCACACACGTGACATCTAATTGGACCTCACTGGACAAGACTTCTCACTAGAACTCCAGGAAACTCTATCCTGTAGCAGGTCACTAGCGAGCATCAGATTAATTTTCTATAGTTTGGTTTGTAAGAGTTAGTTACTGTTAGTTAGAACTGTACTCGTTCGCCATTTCGAATGTGGATGGCAACCATTAAATTGACATTATTCAAATTATAATCACTATTACAAATATTAAGGGTGTCATCTACATACCTTCTTTTACATCTGTAAACTTGGGATTGTTGACTTCACCTGACCGTTTTCTAGACTGGCCATAAGCAGTCTGCAAGGAAAGGACCCAAGGGCGAACCCATTGCAATATGATCCTCAGATCGCTTCATCAAAAGGAAATTGTGAATTCAATGTGTATTTCAGAAGTTTTTCTTTCAAATTTGTAGTGGGTATCCCTAAATTCAGGTTGTCTTCACTATATCTGCACTATGGTTATAATCACAAACATTTTAATAACATTTCATACAATTATTATTTTATGTATTTACACCTATGATTCAATTCCATCACCGGATATAATTTCTTAAAAACCTTTAATGTGGGATTGTATAGCTTGATAATAAATTCGTTGGAAAGCGTCTCTCGGTTGAATCACGTGTTTTGATTTTCTATATGTCCCAGAGGGAATTTCCATTAAATCCTAACAAGCAATTAGTACTTGAACGATTGGAGAAAATCGCAAAATCTAAGCTCAAATCAATTAATTTTTTTAACTCATGTGAGGAAATCTGTGTAGAGATTTATTGCACATGAAGTCATAATGTATCGCAACTCATTATTCGGGGAACCTTTCGCATTCTAGTCGTCTAAGTAAGGCAATATTATTTGGTAGTGACATAGCTAAATCTGCATAAGAATACTAAATGATTAATGGTGACCTTCTCGGATTATTCTTCATCTGAGATTCATAAAGAAAGGCATATATCACTCGATATTTCAAAAAAACGAAAGTCATTCAGTCATTAATGTCAATAAAACGTTTGAG